GGAGGCAGCAGGGATGGCTCAAGTACCTGGGTCCCTGCCACCCACCTGGGAGAGCCAGACTGAGTGCCCAGTGCCTGGCTTCAGCCTGGCCCAGCCCCAGCCATTGCAGGCATTTGGGGAGTTGAACTAGTGTGGATGAAGCGCTCTGTCTCTCTCTGCCTTTCTAATTCATCAGTTAATTAATTTAAATGTTGCCTCTCTGGAGTGGGTGTTTAGCCATGGCTAAGACGCCTGCGTTGGAACAGCGGGGTTAGGTTCCTGCCAGTGTAGACGCTGGGATGCAGCAGTGACGGCTCACTGTGTGCCACCTGCGTGGAAGACAGGGCGTGAGTTCCTGGTCCCTGGCCCTGGCTGTTGCCTGAGCCAGCAGAGGGGAGCTCTCGAGGGGCCCTGCCTTTCTCCCTAGTGAGGCAGAGCAGCTCGTCCGGTGTTTCCTGGCTGTTTGAGTTTACTCTGCTGTGAGATGCATGTTGGTGCATCTCCCTCTAAAAAAGTCTTTAGTTAAACCAACACTTTTTAATTAATTATGCTAAAATTGACCTATTTTCTATAACTATTTTAAATTGAATGGCAGGGAAAGACAAAGAGACAGACTGACAAAGGTTTTCCAAAGGTGCCTGTACCTTTAAAAAAAAAAAGCTATTTGCTGTGGGTTTTTATAGATAACATGTGTCAGGTTAAAGAAATGTTCTTCTTTTTAAAGTTTTTGTATGATTTTACTGCAGCTGAGATGATCATTTTAAGATTTTTTTTTTTTTTTTTTTTTTCAAAATTTGTTTGAAAGCTAGAGTTACACAGAGAGAGGGAGAAACAGAGATTTTCCATCCACTGGTTCACTTCCCTAATGGCCACAACGGCCAGGGCAGAGCCAGGCCGAAGCCAGGAGCTTCTTCTGGGTCTCCCACGTGGGAGCAAGGGCCCAAGGACTTGAGTCATCCTTTGCTACTTTCCCAGGCGCATTAGTAGGGAGCTGGATTGGAAGTGGAGCAGCCGGGACTCGAACCGGCGCCTGTATGGGATGCCGGCATCTCAGGCGGCAGCCCTCCACATTTAAGATTTTTAAAAACACATTTTATCTAATGTTTTTCGGTTATTTCATTAGGGAGCTCCGTCAGGTTGTGCAGGCCCACTGTCTGCTAGAAACAGTTCCTTTTCCCTTACTTTCTCGCCAGCCCCGCCGGATATGGCTGTGTCTATTGGAACAGCGAGATCCAGATGGATGTTAGCAGGCAAATCCTCCGCGTGACGCAGTCAACCACACTTTCCGAATCAGAACTTTCTAGCATGTCTTTATTATCACTGAAATGTCCCCTTTGAAATAGTTGTTCTCGCCGGCGCCGCGGCTCACTAGGCTAATCCTCCGCCTAGCGGCGCCGGCACACCGGGTTCTAGTCCCGGTCGGGGCGCCGGATTCTGTCCCGGTTGCCCCTCTTCCAGGCCAGCCCTCTGCTGTGGCTAGGGAGTGCAGTGGAGGATGGCCCAGGTGCTTGGGCCCTGCACCCCATGGGAGACCAGGAAAAGCACCTGGCTCCTGGCTCCTGCCATCGGATCAGCGCGGTGCGCCGGCCGCAGCGCGCCGGCCGCGGCGGCCATTGGAGGGTGAACCAACGGCAAAGGAAGACCTTTCTCTCTGTCTCTCTCTCTCACTATCCACTCTGCCTGTCAAAAATAAAAAAAAATAAAAATAAAAAAAAAAGAAATAGTTGTTCTCCTGGGTCTACTCTTTTTCTGTCATTTCTCTCGTTTGCACATCTACTCTCTTTTGCAAAGTTGGAGATTTCCTAAGTTTTTCTTGTAATTAATATAAGGAGGATACTTCAAAACTCTTGGGAAAATGGGATTAAAAGGTGTGGGGAAAAAAACAACCACCTTGAAACCATGCAGTCACGTGTAGTGTGCATTTGCCATGGACACTTTGGGGGAGCTCTCATGTTTCCCAGTAGAGTCCACTGAGCTTTTGGGGTCATTTCTAAATTCTCACTCTACACTTCTTTTCCATACCTTCTTTCTCTTCTCAGAATGCTGGTTGGAATTCACATTTTTTTCCTTTGTCCTGAATTCTCTCTGGTTTGGAGCTGCAGCTCAGGCCGATTCCCACGCGTCAGGTGCACTGTTTTCATTATCTGCACAGTCCTTCCTGGGTGGTCTCAGCAGTTATTTGGGGTCCCGTCCTCTTTAGAGCAGACTGCTAGTTGGCCACAGCAGCCCAAGCTGCCCACCCCACCCCGCCTCGTTCTTGTGTGATAATAGTCACAGCTGCGTGCGTGGCAGCCCAGCTGGGCCTTGCTCCTGAGTCTCCTGCAGTCAGATGTGGCCATGTGACTGATGTGTGCCATTTCCAGGTCGTTGGACTCTGGTCCCCTCCTCGCCAGCAGGGAGTCCTCCACAGTGATCCTGCTTCATTCGCACAGCTAACGGCAGTGCAGTAGGATGGAGCCAGAGGCCCTGAGGGGCCGTGTGGAGCAGGACCAGCCGCTGCTCGGGACCAAACCTAGGGAAACAGACTTCGTCCAAAAGCCACTGAGTCACTGTGTTTCTTTGTTGTGGCACCTGAGCCTTCACCCTGACTCAGCTCACTGCCAGGGACCCCCAGCCCCAGCACCAAGTGCGTCCTCAGGAGACAAAGTTCTGCATCAACACCTCGTCTATACCAAGTGAACCCTGCGCTTAAAGGTTATACCCGTTTTATTCTGCAAGTGTGATTTTATGGACTCCTGAAATCCCTTTCCTCATCTGAGAATGTTTCCAAGAAGATTGTGGAGGGAAAGAGTGGGACGCTCCTTGGCTCTGGGTTTTCCCTTCCTCCCCAGCCTGCTGGGTGGTCTGCAGGGAAGGGATTGCATGCACAGAGATGTCAGTGTCACAGACCGGCTGTCAGCACCATGCCATTTCCTGATTTGGTTTTGGGACACTGTTTCGGGGAACATTCCCCTGACGGAGCTGCATGTCAGGAAAAATATGGGGCACGCTGATGGGCGTCAGCAGACTGGACTCCAGGAGATAAGGAGGCAAGAAGGAACTGGAGGGTCACCTGGCCAGCTTTTTGGAATGGTACAAAATCATCTCTTGCTGATGACTGTGCCGTAAATTCGAGTTCGCAGGGCCGGTGCTGTGGTATAGAAGGGTAAACCTCTGCCTGCGGCGCCAACATCCCACATGGGCACCAGTTTGAGGCCCAGCTGCTCCACTTCCGATCCAGCTCCCTGCTAATGGCCTGGGAAAGCAGAGGAAGATGGCCCAAGTCCTTGGGCCCCTGCACCCGTGTGGGAGACCTGGAAGAAGTTCCTGGCTCCTGGCTTTGGCCTGGCCCAGCCCCTAACCACTGTAGCCAGTAGGGGAGTGAACCAGCGGATGGAAGATCTCTTTCTCTCTGATTCTCCACCCCCACCTCGTATCACTGCATCTCTGCCTTTCGAATAAATAAATCTTAGAAAAGAAAAAGGAGCCAGCATGGCCATCAGAAACCAAATAATTATTTAAAAAAAAAAAAAAAAAAACGGAAAAGCAACCATTTCCGTAGGTGGGCAGACAAGACAGGGCTCATACGGGCGCTGAGCCTGAGCCTGGTGCCATCTCGCACCCATTTGCCTTTTGCTTCTCGCTTGTCCTTGCTACAGAAAGTAGCCCTGAGCTGGGTTGAGGGCCTCATTGTCCTGGACTCAGCGGAGCGGGAGAAGCCACACAATTGCTGGATACCCATCTTCATCTTTCTTCCGTTTCCCATCCCTGGGGGCTGGGAAGTCGCTGAGGTGGAAGGAACTCAGGCCTGCTTATTCATATGAAACACTACGTGCGTTTCTACATGAGCAGGCCTGTCCTCGAGCTAATCCAATAACTCAGGGTCCAACAGAGGGGCCCACCCTCCTCGGAACCTGCTAAATTCTCTCCCTCAACACCCCCTAGGGCCCTCCCCCCTGCACTGTGCCCCTGGCCTCCTCCTCCAGCGTAATGAAAATGGGACTATGCGTTCTACAGCGATGCACCATGAACTGGGGACTTCATGTCTGAGGTTACTTCAGAAACCCTGTGGAAAGGGAATTCAGAGGCAGGCATCTGGCCTCGTCATTAAGATGCTGATTAATCCCGCATCAGCGCTGCCTGCTAATACAGCCCCTGGGGGCAGCAGCTACGCTCACTGGAGCAGCTGGGTCCCCGCCACCGTCAGGGAGACCTGCAGCGAGTCCCTGCTCCCAGTTTCAGCCCAGTGCAACCTGGGACCACAGGCATGTGTGGAGTGAACAGCAGATGGGAGCCTTTTCCCTGCCTTCCAAATGAGTAATATTTAAAAGAGAGCCAGAAATGAGCCGGAGGTTAAGGGCTGCACCCACTTTTCCTGTGGGTTTCAATGGAACTCCGGCAGTTTTTCATCATACGCGTTTTCCATGAACTCTCTGGAGGCCCCCAGATGTCATTTTCTTCCCTAATGCTGTTTTTTGGGTTAGCTTTGCTGAGAGGTGGGATGGAAGTTTTGTAAACATGGCTTTTTTCTTTTCTTTGCCAGGACACTGATCTCACGCATTTAAAGTGCCCAGAGTGAGGACGCTGGCCACGCACGGCCAGCTGACACAGACTCAGCTGGTAGGAATCCCACCAGCGTACCCTGACGGCAGCTTCTGCTTTTAAAGGAGAACACTCCTCCAACAACCACACTGTTACTCAAACTTTTTACACAATAACTTACTCTTTTTTATTAAAAGTATATTTTTTCCGATTACTGGAATAACACATACTTGCTTTAGAAAATTTAGAAAATACAGAAATGTATTTTAAAAAAATAGCGAACATCCATAATTCCGTTACCAACCAGAGTTCGTCAAAGCTCACTTGAACTCCTGGGATCCGGTCAGAGCCCATCTTCCAAGTACTCGTGTTCTCTCCCAGAGAACATCACACATACACACAGAACGCATCAGAAACAGCCAACAGAATGTGGTTTCTCTACGAAGTCGGTGCCTACAAATATCTTCATTTCCCACATTCCTGTGAGTCACAGATTCTAATACAGGCTACTACGCGTTTATTAGAATAGTAACGAGAGGAGGGAGAAGATGATGGGGGCAGGGCCTATCTCCACACCCCCCCTCGGCCCCTCACGCTGCCAGGAGCAGAGTGTGCACTTTTCTTCCGTGCGGGGGCCTTCTCAGTCTTGGGGGCTGTGGCGAGGCGGCGCGGGAGGGCCTGCGAGGGAATCAGAGTTGAGGAAGAGAAGAAAAAGTCAGCATCGTGGGGAAGGCGAGGCGGGAGCCGTCCCCCCAGGCGTCCACGCTGCACCAGGCGGGGGCTGGGCCTGCAGGGGTGGAGGTGGCGGGGATGGTGCAGCGGAAGGACCTGCTCAGGGGGCCCTGTCCACCCCTGCTCCCTGCCCAGCTCTGCCTCACCTCTTTCCGGGGCATCTCACCCAAGCGGGAGTCTGTGTTCCGTCTGGGGACAGGATCCCCTCGGCCATCGGTCCTGCCATGCAAACCAGGGCTGTGAGGACAGGGAGCTGTTCTCCCACCCCCAACCCTACCCAACACTGCATGCACGGAAGAGCTGCTCGCCAATTCTGTCTCCTAAGAACCAGGATAAACGCACTAGGACTGGGGATCAAATCGGGGAGACCTTAGTGTTATACTAGACAGCCAAATCCTGGGCGTCTGAGTTTCAAGCTGCAGGACAAAAAGAGGGGAAAACCACAGTAGAAAGACAGAGAAAAGGGGCCGGCGCTGTGGTGTAGTGGGCTAAGCCTCCACCTGCAGTGCCGGTTCGAGTCCCGGCTACTCCACTTCTGATCCATCTCTGCTATGGCCTGGGAAAGCAGTAGAAGATGGCCCAAGTCCTTGGGCCCCTGCACCTGCATGGGAGACCTGGAAGAAGCTCCTGGCTCCTGGCTTCAGATTGGCCTGGCTCTGGCTGTTGCAGCCAACTGGGGAGTGAACCAGTGGGTAGAAGATTCTCTCTCTTTCCTTCCCTGTTACTCTGCCTCTCAAATAAATAAATAAAAATATTTTTTAAAAAAGGGAAGAGTTTTGTTTTGAAGAAAAAGGCAGTTAGGGGTGGGCCTTGTGGCAGAGCAGAACTGTCCCTTGGGATGCCCGCAACCCTTGGAGTGTCCGGGATTGAGTCCCACCTCTGCTTCCGCTCCCATGCACACCCTGGGAGGCAGCAGGTCAAGTGCTTGGGCCTCTGCCACCCATGTGGGAGACCCAGATGGAGTTCCTGGCTCCTGGCTTCAGCCTGGCCCAGCCCTGGCTGTTGCAGGCATTTGGGAAGCAAACCAGTGGATAAAAGACTCTCTCTCTCTCTCTCTCTCTCTCTCTGTTGCTCTTTCAAGTATATGAAAATAAACATTAAGAAAAGAAAGCAGAAGAGAGGAAGAGACGGAAGGGAGCAGGGTTCAGTGAGAGAAGGGGACCTGGGGGTCTGCATCTCACCCCCCCCCCCAGAGGAAGACAAAAGACTATGCAGTGTGCACCACACAAGCCACCTGCTCCATTCTTCCCCCCCGCGCACCGTCCCGCCCTCCTCCCTCCCAGGCTCATACCCGCCGTGTTCCAGCCTCTTCAAGTAGAGCAGCAGGTCCTCGGCAGGCAGAGCCCCCCAGCCCCGAGCCTGGTACAGTCGCAACAGCTGGGACACCTCCATCAGCTGCTTCGGGGATGCGAGTCCATCTCCACCTGGGGTGTGTCAGTATCGGTCCTCACCCGAGGGCCGCTTCCCCCAGCCTTCATCCCACCTCCCCAGGACCCCCCTAAGTCCAGCTCCGGGCTCCCCTCTTCTCTCCCTGGGAAGCCAGGACGTGCTCACCTCTCTCTGGGGAGCCACTGCTAGGACCACTGCCTTGTGACTGGGAGGACGGAGGTTCATGGGCTCGGAAAAGACTGGACGCCATGGTCAAGGGGACTTTAGTTTTATGGACAGGGGGTGGAAGGCGTGGCACTTGAGGGGCATCCTCCCATGCCGGGACAGTCCGCGCACCTAGCAGAAAGAGACCCATGAGTGAGGGCCGGCACCAAGAGCTACCGTCCTGGGAAACCAGCTCCCACCCTCCGCAGGCCCCAGGCCCTCCCTTCAGAGTTGGGACTCACCAGACTTCGAGGGCAGCAGGTCAGTGGGGGGGTTTTCGTGGCTCTGGGGAGCTGTCTCCAGCAGCTGGGGGGACAAGAGAGCAAAGTTCCCTAGAGGACCGATGAGGGCGGAGGCCAGTATCCAAGGGAGGCGGAGTGCGAAGCGAGGGCTAAGATCCAGGAGGGAATCACACAGTAGGACTGAGATACTACGTAAGGAGTGGAGACAGAGCCCCGGGTGCTGGAGTAGGGGGAGGCGGGACGCTCAGGGAGGAAGGCCTCACCTGCTGCAGGAAGTTCTTGAGGCCCTCCAGCTGGGAAGCCGGCGGCGGCAGCCCTTGCTTCAGGAAGCCATCGCCGTCAGACCCAGGATCCTCCTCAGGGAACGGCCGCTCCGCCCCGTGGTCGCCAGGGAAGGCCTCGAGGGCCGAGAAGGCCCCGGCTGGAGTGACACGGGGGTGGGTGGGTGCGCGTGCCTTGTTAGGTGGAAGGGCTGCCCCACAAACCAATTCACCCAATGCCCAGGGACCGAGGGACGTCGGGTGGGAGCCAATGGGAGTTTGAAAGAACTGCCGAGGGAAGAGTTCAAGGTGACTGGGAGACAGCGCAGCTGAACTCTAAGACAGAAGAGAGCTGTGGTGTTCCAACTTTAAACAAACACCCCTCAGAGAACAGAAATGATGGACAGACATGTGTGGCCCCTTTCTATTATTAGTACATAAAGAAAAACTTTTAAACTGTGATATAACTCATTCCTCCTTCTTAGTCTGACCTAGGGTGGCACGTGTGTGCCACACAGAACACCACCCAAGTCACAGCTGGCTATCCTGGGGTGAACACTAAACCCGACGTCAGCTGATCCAAAGAATGGTTACCAAGCCTCTAACTGAACCTAGGATTTCTGTGTGAATGTCTGGGATCCTGGCTAGAGGCAGTGCCATGACTGACTGGTGCGAGTCAGGTTATGAGGAGCAAGAACGTCCAGGGAGAGAGAGCGCTGGTCTAGCAAGAGAAAGGCGTGGGCGTGCAAGGGGAGGCCATGAGCGCCCAGGGACAGGAGGGTTGGCAGCCTCAGCTCCTGACGGCACCCCAGTGCCCAACTCCAGCTCTCGTTGAAGGAAAGCTAGGTGGGAGGGGGCCGCCTCATGAGTATAGGGCGAACCCCAGTTACCTGTGGGCGGAGTGAGATCTGGCTTGGGCTCCAGGGGCTGGAAGGAATGCTGGCTGTGCGAGGGGGGCCCCAGCAGGAGGCTGAGATCTGAAGAGGGGCTGCAGAGAAGAGGCGGCGCCCCCGGAGGCTCCTCCCTCGCTTCGCGGCTCTGCTGCAACACTGGCTTCAGGGCCACGGCCACGGGGGGCACGGGCCAGAACCTCCTGTCCCCCTTCTCTGGTTCCTGAGGCCCAGGGCTGGCGGGGCAGGCGGGAGGAACCTGGCCAAGAGACAGATGCAAGGACCAAAGCCCGATGGGTTTCAAGAGGCGACACATGGTACAGATGTGCTAAACAGATGTGCTAATAAGGTTAAGACATCAATAGACCTTCTTTACGAGGGGACTGGGTTGTATCTGTCAAATTTCTATCAAATATCCCGCTGCTCATTGCTGATCTATTTCTAGGAATTTTCTAGTACACAAAGATACCTTCAGGCAGTGCTTGGCTGAATAGAAGCTATTACAGCAGGGTACAAAAGGCAACCATTTGGTGCGGGCAGCGGGCAGGGAGGCAGGGGGAGGCACTGGAGACCTGCAGAGGTTGCTTCTGCGGAGGGGAACTGGGAGACTGGGGTACAAGGACAGAAGAAGGTAAATTTTCTCTCTATACCATCTTGAGCAGCTTAGACTTTTAAAAAATCATGTGGATATTATTGTGTGTGTGTGTGTGTGTTATTACCTATTGCAAAAAGTGCTTACTTATTTGCAAGACAGAGCTAGCTCCCATCTGCTGAGTCACCTCCCAAATGCCTGTAATACCTGGGGCTGAGCCAGGGCTGGAGCCAGGAACTGGGAACTCCGTCTGAGTCTCCCATGTTGGGGAAGGGATACGCACCTGCTGCCTCCCATGGGTGTGCATTGGCAGGAAGCTGGAATCAGGAGTGGAGCTAGGACTTGAACCTAGGCACTCCAGCATGGGATGTGTCCTAACCTCTGCACACCAAACACCCACCTCCCCCAGAATATTTTAGCTAGTAATAAAAATTTCATAATTAAAAGAAGGGAGTAGGAGACAGCAACACAAGAAGGGCCAGGGTAAGACTCCCTACCCTACTCCAGGGTAGAACTTAGTGCCAATTTTTGGATGAACTTGGCTGTCATTCCCTAAAACTGGTACAAATCAGTCATCACCTCTCGGGACGGGGAGACGGGGCCAGCCTGGGGGAGCTGCGGCCAGGGAAGAGACTCCTTTGGTGAGACAGTCACTCTTGGGGAAAGTCCCCGCATTTTTTCCCCTGATGTAGGCCCCAGGAACTCAGCACTTCCCTGGAGAGGGAGAGGGAGCGGGACGTCCAGAGGAGGGGCTCTGAGACTTGGCCGGGGGCACTGCATACCAGCAGGTCGGCAGGCGGGAGGGAGGCCCCGAGCAGCTGGCTGGCCTCGTCCCAGTGGGCCTGCAGCATGGCCTGGAGTCGCTCCACCAGCTCCACCCGCTGCTCCTCCAGCTGCCGATTCCCACTCTGCAGCTCCCGCACTCGCGCCTGCTCCCGGGCCAGTCTGTGGAGGGGAGAGAGGGGTAGCACAGGGCCTTTATGAAAGCAGAGGCTTGGAGGCTAGGAAGGGCCAGGGTGGACCGGCAGGCATGGGAAACTCTGAAAGCAGCCAGGGCCCACTTGAAAGCGGGCAGACCTCCCGGGGTGCACTTCTTCCGCAGACGCTATCCGGGGTCTCGGGGGATCCTCCGGGGCACAGCACCTGAGCTCGTAGTCCTGCGCCACCTGCTGCTGTCTTTCCTCGCGCTCTGCCATTTCCACCTTGAACTGAGCCAGCTGAGTGGCCAGTTCCTGCTGGTGCTGTCCGTTGAGGTCCTGCAGCTGCTTCCTGTGGGGACACAGGTGAGAGAAGACTGAGACCAGGGACAGGAGTGATCACGTGAGAAGGGCCAGACTGTGTGCACGGGAGACAGCGAGAGACCGAGCACTGTAGGGGCACAGCACAGAGACAGGACGGAGCTGGGGTCTCAGACACAGAGGCTGAGATGAGCATTTATGAGAAAGTGATTTTTTTTCCCTTTTGTCCCCCCAGAAACCTTTTATTTAAGGAATACAAACTTCCTGCATTTCATAAGTACTTTAGGAACACGGTGATTCTCCCCACTGTACCCGCCCTCACCCCTCTTCCTCCTCCCTCTCCTAGTCCCATTCTTATTTTTTACTAAGATCTATTTTCAATTCACTTTATATACATATGATTAACTCTACACTAAGTAGTATGGAAAAAAAAACTGTTCCTCAACAATTGAGACAAAGGCTGTTCAAAGTCACTGCATCCAACGTGTCGATTTCACACACAAGTTACCTTTTAGGTGCTCTGTTAGTTATCACAGATCAGGGGGAACACTGGCTTGTTTCACTAAGTATGAGGTTTTCCAGTTTCATCCATTTTGTTGCAAATTACACGAATTCGTTTTTTTTTTTTTTTTTAATATGAAAGTGATTTATTTAAGAAGTGTTTCCATAGGGGAAGGGAGTGAGGGTGAAGAGAGGTGAAGAGATGGGAAGGAGGCCCGGAGCACACAGCTTGGCGCTACCCCAGCGGGGAACTGGGAATTCTTTTTTTTCCCAAAAAACTTATTTATTTATTTATTTATTTATTTATCTGCAATAGTTATAGAGAAGGCGAGGCAGAGGTAGAGGCAGAGAGAGAGAGAAATCTTCCATCTGCTGGTTCACTTCCCAAATGGCTACAATGGCCAGGGCTGGACCAAGCTAAAACCAGGAGCCAGGAGCACAACCAGGTCTTCCTTGTGGCTGGTAGGGGCCCAAGCACTTGGCCATCTTCTCCTGCTTTCCCAGGCACATTAGCAGGGAGCTGGATTGGAAGTGGAGCAGCCAGGACTCGAACCGGCACTCATATGGGGTACTGCAGGTGGTGGTTTTACCTGCTATGCCATAGCACCAGCCATGGGAACTGGGAATTCCAGTCCCATGCCCTTCAGCAGTTTGTTAAGGGCTGTTCCCTAAGGAATGAGAATTCCCAGGCACTTCTGCCTCTCCCTGAGCACCTGACGGCGGCCTTCCCAGGAGGGGCTTTTTCCTGGCTGACAGGAGTGAAAGTCCACTGGGAGCCAGCAGATTAGAAACCAGAAAAGGGACATGCCAGATGCTGCGGCACAGTGGGTTAAGCCACAGCCTGCGACGCCGGCATCCCCTATGAGCACCAGTCCAGTCCTGGCTGTCCCATTTCTGATCCAGCTCCCTGCTAATGGCCTGGGAAAGCAGCAGAGGACGGCCCAAGAGTTTGAGCCCCTGCCACCCACGAGTGACCCAGATGGAGCTCCAGGCTCCTGGCTTCAGCCCAGCTCAGCACCGGCCATTGTGGCCAGAGATCTCTGTCTCTCCCCCTACTCTGTAACTGTCTTCCAGATAAATCTTGAAAGAAAGAAAAGAAAAAAGAATGAAAAGAAATAAAATATCAGTAAAGGGAGCCAGCGCGCTGACAGCAGCCCGTGTCGGGGAGAAGTGGCACGCGGCAGTCCTCAGGCACCTGTGATGCTCCCTCAGGGAGGCGGCCTGCCGTATGCTGCTTTCTTGAGCCTGCGCCAGCCGCTCTGTCACCCGCTGCTCCAGCTGCACAGCCAGCTCCGACTCCATCTGGATCCGCTGGCTTTCATACCGGGCCTGGCGGTGAAGGAAGATGGGACGAGTCAGCTCAGCTCTGCTGGGACTGGGAAGAGGTTCGGGGAGAGGCCAGAGGCAGGAAGAACAAAAATTCTGCCACAAGGAGTGAGAGAGGTTCCCTTTGCTTTTAAACCACGAAACACCTTATCTGAACACAAAAGAAAAAAATGACTTTGGGCAAAAGAAATACAATTTTTACCAAAAGAAATGTCTGACAGAGCAATCAAATCCGTTCTCTGTGTCTGAGAGGACAGCCTGGCCCCTGGCACAGTGCCCACAGCCAGCAGGCACGCAGTGAGCCATAGCCCCGCCCTCCCAAAGCAGCGTCCAGAACTGCTGCGTCCACCTGCCCCTCATACTCCTGCTTTCCAGCTTCAGGGCTTCCCTGCAAAGAGTTTCATTCTTTTTCTTTTTTATATTTTTTTAAAGATTTATATTTTATTTGAAAGGCAGAATTACAGAGAGAGAAAAGGAGAGACAGAGAGAGGGGTTTCCCATCACCGGTTCACTCCCCAAATGGCTGCAATAGCTGAGGCTAAGCCAGGCCAGAAAGCCAAGAACCAGGAGCTTCTTCCGCGTCTCCCACGTGGGTGCAGGGCCCAAGCACTTGGGCCACCTTCCACTGCTTTCCCAGGCCATAGCAGAGAGCTCAATGGGAAGTAGAGCAGCGAGGACTCAAAACTGGCACCCATATGGGATGCAGGCACTGCAGGCGGCAGCTTGACCTGCTACGCCACAGCGCCGGCCCAGAGCTCAGTTCTAAATCCACTGTGGTGAAGGCTCAGTCTTTCCTTTATGTGATGTCACTGCAACACCGACACGCTAGGTCAATTCTTCCCCCCACAAACGTTCCTCCTTCAGCTCCCACGATGCCACATCGCCTTGTTCTCACTGCTCTTCCTCCAGCTGCCCATAAGGCGGAATGTTTCCTGGCGTTCTCTCCCTGGTCCTCTTTCCCACTGTATGCCCACATTTGGGTCACTGATGATTCACATGTGTATAATAAAACTTTCGGCATTTAGGCCAGGTTTTTTGCTACCATTTATATCTTAACACTTCTCATAAATCTCTTTAGTCTACACCTTTCCCCCAAGTTTTAAGTCCACGCACCCAGCTCTCTATGGCTACACCCCAAATACAGCACATCCTGAATTCAGCTTATTTGGTTTTCTACCCTCAAAGCTGTCATTATTGTACCTCCTGCCCCAATGGCACTGCTCCCCACTGAAACACCCAAGCTCTGTGACATCTGCAGTCATTTTTTACTCTTGTTACTTCTTTTCCTTTTTAACTTTGTATTTATTTATTTACATCTTATTTGAAGGAGACAGAGAGAAGGTAGATTTTTTTCCATTTTTGGGTTTATTCCCAAAATGCCCACAACAAACAGGGTTGGGTGAGGCTGAAGCCAGGAGCCCTGGACTCTATCCAAGACTCCCACAAGGGTGGTAGGGACCCAAGTATTTGAGCCATCATCTGCCGCCTCCCAGGGTGCACATCAGCAGGCAGCTGGATCAGAAGCGGAGTATCTGGGACTTGAACCAGGCACTCTGACATGGAATATGGACATCCCACACAGTGCCCTAACTGCTGTAACAAACACCGACCCCTCCTCCTACTACTTTTTTTTTTGTTTTTTTTTAAGATTTATTTTATTTATTTGAAAGGCAGAGTGACAGAACAGGAGAGACAGAGAGATAAACAGATCTTGTATCCACTAGTTCACTCCCCAAACAGCTGCAATGGCCAGGGCTTGGCCAGACCGAAGCCAAGAGCCACAAACTCCTTTCGGGTCTCTCACATGGGTGGCAGAGGCCCAAGCACTTGGGCCATCTTCCGCTACCTCCCAGGTGCATTAGAAGGGAGCTGGATCAGAAGCAGACTCAAACCGGCATCCAATACGGGCTGTGCGGACTGCAGGCAGAGCTTACACACCGTGCCTCCACACCGGTCCCTCCTCTTACTTCTTAACTCCCTCCCAACGGGTCACTCATTCTCCAGCTTGACTTGTTCTTAGGAACCCACCAATGTGCCCTTAGCACGTGTTACACATTAAACCTGCCCACCTCTGACCCTCCTGCTTTTCTCAGGAAAAAAAGAAAAACAAGCAAGCAAACAAACCAGGCCCCTAAAGGTCAAAACTCTAGTTACAGGTAGAACTGAGTGTCTTGGTTCCCTCTCCAGTGCTCCTTCCTCTGCAATGTTGCGCCTCCACCATGAGCTTTAACCCTTTCCTCTACTCCAGGAATCAGCAACTGGCGCCCAATCCAGCCCTCCACTGCCTGTTCTTGTAAACAGTTTTGTTGGAGCACAGCCATGCCCATTTGTTTACATACTGTCCATAGCTACTTCTGAGCAATAACAGCAGAGTTGAGGAGTTGCAACTGACACCATCTGACTTACAGAGACAAAAACAGTTACTGTCTCACCTTTTACAGCAAAAGCTTGCCAACTCCTGCTCTAGTCCATGGCAAGGACCTGACTGGCTCGAACCGAAGAGTCACTGTCTTAGCTAGGTAGAAAGTGTTTTTCTAAGTCCAGTTACATTAGGGCTGGCATTATGGCTTAGTGTAAGTTTAAGCCACTGCCTGTAACATCAGCATCCCATATGGGCACTGGTTCGAGTCCCACTTGTTCTGCTTCCGATCCAGCTCCCTGCTAATGCGCCTGAGAAAGCAGCAGCAGAAGGCCCAAGTGGGAGACCTGTATGGAGTTCCAGACTCCTGGCTTCAGCCCGGCCCAGCCCTGGCCATTGTGTCTATTTAGGGAGTGAACCAGAGGATGACGATCTCTCTCTCTTTCTTCCTCTCTGCCTTTCAAATAAATGAAAATAAATCTTTTTCAAAAAATCTAATTCTGTCCCACAAACAACTTGTGAGCACTATGGTGTCCTGTGCTATTATAGGGATGCACCAAGTAAATGAGCACCACCGCCTGGGCCTCTGGGCACCCAGAGGGATGAATGCCATTCAGGTCCTGGGAATTCCACAGCAGCCTGCCGACTGCAGTCGGGGCCCTGAACAAAGTGCTCTCCTGCTTAGAGCAGTCAATTCACCAAGTGTGCTGTCACCTCTTTTAAAACAACATAAGGTATATTTAATAGAATTTCGTCTACTGACTCCCCAAAGTGACACTAGCTCAATCCGACACGCTATGGGGAAACCGTCACTCAGCGAGAACTGGCTCTGAGTTCAGGACAGAGTGTAACCCACACTACACAGGAGCTGTTTGTGCGGTTTGAATGTGTCTTCCAAAAAGCCTGTGTTGGAGATGTAATCCCCAGTTCAACAGTGCTGGGAGTGGGGCCTCACGGTGGGTGCGTGGGCTCCGGGGGCTCTGCCCTCATGAATGGATTCGCGGGATCACAAAGGCCTTTGAGTCTGCAGCTTTGATCTTCGGCTCCCTCACCGAGCTGTGACTCAGCAAGAGGCCCTCACAGATAGGAGCCCCTGACCTGGACTGTGAGCCTCCAGAGCTCTAAGAAATGGTTTTCTGCTCTTCAAAACGGCCCAGTCTCAGGCACTGTGTTACAGCAGCGTAACACACTAAGCCACTGGAGTAAATTCCAAATACTGGAAATGGGGCCTCTCCCAGGACCCCTCAGTGGCCACTCTGCCTCAGACCTACTTTTCTCAACCAGAAAAAGTGGCCTCAAGAGCCCGCGCCTCCGACCTGCACCAGGCTCATTTCCAGCTGCAGGGCGTCTCTCTCTCTCCGAGCCGTGTCGAGCTCTCCTTCCAACCGCCGCACCTCGGACTGCGCCAGCGCCAGCTGCTGCTGCGCCTCCCGCGCCGCCTGGGCCTCCCTCTGGCTGCTTCCCTAGGGGAGGGAAATCACACTCAGGTACAGACTTCATTCGCCACCCCCTGGTCGCCTCCACCCCCCAGCTCATCACCCCGTACCCTAAATAACGATCATCGTCCTGTTCCCCATCTCTGTTTAACTTCACTCCTGGGCCTTTCACGTACTTGAAGCCTCCTCGCTCCCCCGGGCCCTCAGCCTTATCTCGCACACAGCCCTTGACTCTCTATCCCATGTCCTACATCCCATCCCACCTGAAGACTTCGCTCTTCACCTCGTCCCAGTCCCCAGCTCTTCCAACGCCACTGCTACCTTCTCCCTCTCCAGCTGAGCCTGGCCCTCCTCCTGCAGTGCCTGGCAGCGTTCCTTCAGCTGGCGCTCTTGCTGGGCCCAGCTCTGCCGCTCCTCCTCCAGGGCGACCTGAAGGGTCTCCAGCTTCCGACGCTCACTGAGCTGCCCAGCCCGAGCCTCATCCCGCTCCTGCTGCAGGGCACGGCTCCGCTGCTGCTCCACCTCCAAGGTCAGGGTTAGTGCTTGCCTTTCCTCTTCCTACAGCCTCAGAAAACCAAGATCTTTAGTCGACCTCAAGGAACCAGCAATCTGTCCCCTCCCCCTCAATCACTGTGCCCGCTGAGAATTATGCCTAGGAGTGGGCCAATGCTGTGGCACAGTAGGTTAATCCTCTGCCTGCAGTGCCAGCATCCCATATGGGCACCAGTTCTAGTCTTGGCTGCTCCTCTTCCAGTCCAGTTCTCTGCTGTGGCCTGGAAGAGCAGTGGGAGATGGCCCAAGTACTTGGGCCCCAGCACCTGCATGGGAGACCCAGAAGAAGCTCCTGGCTCCAGGTTTCGGATTGGCCCAGATTTGGCCATTTGGGGAGTTAACCAGAGGATGAAAGACCTCTCTCTCTGTCTCCCTCTCACTGTCTGTAGCTCTACCTCTTGAATAAATAAATAAATTAAAAAAAAAAAAAAAGACAGGAGTTGACAAACCCCCCAAGATTACAGCACAGTAGATAAGAGCTCCTGTTCTAGAGTTAGGAGACGCAGGTCCAATCTCAGCTTGAATCTTAATTCTATCATTCTTAGACACACCCCCTTATATGTAAAACAGAGATAATAACAGGATCTATATTGCAAGGGTTAAAGTAAAAAGTATTGTATTTAGCACACAGGCAGCACTTGGTACACAACAGCTGTCACTGTTACCATCACGAGACATTCCACACAGACTAGAAAAATCCAACTTATAATCATGGACAGGCCAAGCAGTGACTCCCGGGGCACTGCTGCATTAGCCTGCTAAGGCCCAAGTGGCAGCACTCAAGCAGCGTGCGTGTGGCCTACAGCAGCAAGTTCCAAGCCTGGCTGCCAACTCACAGAGGTCATTTCATTTCCGCTCTCAGAAATCTCCACCATTTCTGGCCTTGCCCTAGGTCAGAGCTTCCAAACCAGGCTCAACAAAACCACCTAGAAAAATTCTGAAAATATTTGGTTCCCTCAGCCCCTCCTGAATCACAACCTCTGGGAACAAGTTCCAGAAATCTCTATTTGAAAACAGGTCCCGGATGAGATTCCAGTACTCTACTGGAGATACAACTGGCAGTCTCTCATGCTTCACTGGTGGCCGAGCTTATTGTAGAATACTGAGCAGAACTAGCGTTCTAAGAAACACACTTTGGGAAGCACTGCCCCAGTGCAAATTCCGTTATAAACTCTCACACTCCACCGCCCGCCCGCAGCTCTCTAGAAACGACAGCTTCCAACGGAATCAGCGCAGCGCGGCCTTCTCACCAGCGTCTCTCTTTCCTGTTGCCGCAGTCTGGCGGCTTCCTGCTCCCGCGTCAGGGCCTCCATGGCCTCAGAGAGGCTCTGTTCCAGGCGGGTCACTGTCTTTCCAGGAGAGAGGAACAGAGACAGATGAACAGGCGGAAACTCACTCGCAGCGTCAACTGAATGACTTGGGGGCCAAAGGGAAGAGGAGACGGCATGATGTGAGGACAAGTGGAGGCTATCAGTGACGCAAGTGTGTCGGCAGGAACAGGGAAGGGAGAGGAAGAGGGGACAAGAGTCAGGGTGGTTACTGCAAGGCTGAGGCTGGTCTGACGGGAGCCCACTTGTAGAGCTCCTCCTGCCCCTTTCCACGTGCAGACGCCACGCGGGCCAGGTCGCTCACCTCCTGCTGCTTACTCCTGGTGAGCTCTGCCACCCGGCGCTCCTCTTGAAGTCCTCGAAGCACCTCCGCCCTCTCAGCCTCATGCCGGTTCCAGCCTTCCACCACGCGGGCCAGAGTCTCAGGAGAAACAAATAAAATGAAACTTTAGAACAACTTTTTGGGGAGTGAGCATTTGGCCTAGCATTTAAGATGCCACTAGGGATGCCAACATCCCATCTTGGGGTGCCTGGGTTCGAGTCCTGGCTCTGATTCCAATTCCAGCTTCCTGCTGAAGTGCACCCTGGGAGGCAGCAGGCGATGGCTCAAGTAGCTGGGTCCCTGCCATCTAAAAGGGAGACCCAGACTGGATCTCCACTCCCAGCCTGCCTCAGCCCACACCGTTAGGAACATTTGGAGAGTGAACCAATGCATTGGAAGCTCTTTGTCTCTGTGGCTCTCAAATTAAAAATAATAAAAATAATTTCAAGGTTGACAGGCACTTTCTCCCAGGACACATCCACCCCTTTGCTCAGCTGCTAGCAGACACAGAGAAACACTGGCTGGCTACTCCCTTACTCAGTGCTCCGTGGAGGGACCCACCCGCCTCTTGCTCCCCAGGCACCTTGTCCAGTTGCTCAATCATGACATCTTTCTTGCGGTCGGCAGCCACAGCCACGGCCAACTGCTGCTGAAGCTCTAGCACCCGGGTCTGCAGGCTCTGAATATGGCGCTCACAATGCTGCAACAAGGGGGAGGAGTCTGGGTGCTACCATCCTCAGTGCGGCCGAACGGTCCAGCTCTCTCAGGGGAAATGAGCTGGAGCCAGGAAGCCTGGGCCTCCGGAACAAGGATACGGTTTGGAGAGAGAGGAGCAGGAATTCTGGAGCAGGAAGCTTACGGTCCAAGACCTCCAACGCCTTCCTCTGCCTTCTCAGGAAGCCAGTGCTTAGCTTCCAGGCTCTTCGCTCCCCGGGTCTCCTGAGGGAAATCCCCACAGACCTCCTAGCAGAGGTGCGGCAGCCCACCCTGCTGCGGAGGGAAGTCACTCCTGCCCTCAGAAGCTCCCTGGACACCAAGACGCGGCACAGCGAGCCAAGGGGACAACCTTCCACACACGCCCAGGCAGTTTCAAACAGGAGAGACGGTGCCCAAAGTGACAACCAATGGTTCTGTCCCTTCACGCTGTCTCTCCCACTGTCCCCTTTAGACATTAAGGCTGAGGCTCACTGAGATAAAGCTCTCATCACCAAGAGCTACAAACCCTTTGTACAAGCTGACAAATGTGGCTGTCCACACAACAGACACGCATGGAGGGTTTCCACCTTGTCAGGAATATTCTAGACCAGAGGAAGCCAGTGTTGAACAAGATAAGGTACTGACCTCAGAGAGTTCAGGTTTTAGAGGGGAGACACAAACAACATATGAGGTGTCTTCAAAAGCTTCATGGGAAACGCCTATTACGGAGAAACCGTGTACAACTTGGAAAATTTTTGTACCCACGTACGCTTATCTTTTGAGTTCATTCTCCGTGAACTCTCTGAAGTGCCCTCGTGTATCAGAGTGATAAACTACACGACGGAAGTAAGAGAGAGAGCCGACTGACAACTAGAGGGCAGGTGCGGCCACATTAGCTGGGTGGTTAAAGAAGAAACCATGAAGAAGCATTTGGACCAAACCAGCTGTTAGGCTCTTAACCCTCAGCCCTCTTCAGCATTCAGGCTCCCGGTTTCCAATCTTTGGCCCTCAGGTCTTACCTTGCGGCGGGTGTGCTCTGAATCCAGTGCGTCTTTCAGGCCCTGGAAATCCGGGGGATTGAGCGGGGGCCCTGCCCGAAGGCTGGTATAGCGGGGGAACAGCTCCTCCAGGGCTTGCGCCGAGCTAGGTGAAGACAAGTCTGGCAGGGGCCGGGTGCTGAGCAAATCAGAATGAGGATGTTTGAGCCGGGACAGCTTTTGAGATCCACTAGCCCAGTGGTGAGATTTTATAAACAAAAACCTCACACCCAGAAAGGGCAGGCGATGTGTTCAAAGTCACAGCCTAGACAGCAACAGAGCTATAACTGCAGGGCAGGCGCTGTGCTGCAGCAGGTTAAGCTGCAGCCTGTGACGCTAGCATCCCATACAACCGCCTGTTCAAGTCCTGGCAGCTCCACTTCCGATTCAGTTCCCTGTCAGTGCCCTGGGAAAAGCAGTGGAAGATGGCCCAAGTGTTTGAGCCTCTGCACCCACATAGGGGACCCAGATGGAGTGCCAGGCTCCTGGCTCAAACTTGGCTCAACCCTGGCTGTTGCACTCATGTGGGGAGTCAACCAGCAGACAGAACATCTCTTACTCTCTCTAACTCTGCCTTTTAAATAAATAATCTTTAAAAAAAAAAGAAAAAGGGAGGAGTGGCGCTGTGGCACAGTAGGTTAAGCATCTGCCTGCAACACCGGCATCCCATATGGGTACCAGTTCAAGTCCTGGCTGCTCCACTTCCAATCCAGCTCCCTGCTAATGGCCTGGGAAAGCAGTAGAAAATGGCCCAAGTATATGGGCCCCTGCACCCGCGTGGGAGACCTAGAAGCTCCTGGCTCTGGATCGGCTCAGCTCTGGCCATTGAGGCCATTTGATGAGTGAAACAGTGGATGGAAGACCTCTCACTCTCTGCCTCTGCCTCTCTGTAACTCTGCCTTTCAAATAAATAAATAAATCTTAAAAAAAAAAAAAAAGAGCCATTAATAACACATAGGTCAGTGGTTCATTCTATAATGCTCCTTCCTCTATGTCAGGGGTTGGGAACACCCCACCCTCAGGCTGGATAAGGGCCACAGACCATTAGCCCTGGCCCTACCAAGGCAATCACAGGTGGGACATGAAACTTAATAAGTCTAGAGCAGGGTGATGAAGTTGATGACTGCGTTTGACCTGTGAATGATGTTGCAAATATCCAAATGGCAGCTGGCAGAAAGAAAGGTTCCCAGCCCTGTTCTCTAGCACACTCCCAGAAGCAAAAGTCTCAGCAGAAACGAAGCTGACTCTTCTGGGGGAAGGAGGACTGGAGGCTGAGACCAAGCCAGGTCCCAGGCAGCAGGTGCCCAGGTTCCTGAAGGAGTAACGGGGGCAGGAGATGGCAAAAGATGCAAACAGAGCCAGCCAACAAGCTTACTGGGTCCTTAAGAATCACGAAGGCAGCACATGGGGAACTGACAAAGAGAACTTTTAGATGTCCAAGAACACAACGAGACAGGAACGCCCCAGGGAGCACTCACGTGAGCAAGGCAGCCGTGCTGTCGCTGTCAAAGGAGTCCTCCTCCCGTCTCTCTGAGCCAGCACCTGCAGCAAGGGAATCCCCTGTGGCAGCCAGAGAGACCCCACAGCCGGGGTCAGGTCAGGACAGGAAAGAGAGACCACTTGAGGGTGAAGAGGAGTGTGCTTTCTTTGCACCCCCCCTTCCCGCCCCCTAACAGCAGCAGCCTCTTCTGGAATCTACCTCCGAGGTCTCGCTTTCCTCCTGCTTCCTCCCCCGTGCTCCCGCCCCTTACAGCCAGGCTGTCCCTCACAGCTCAAGGGAAGCGTTACTCACTGTAGGCCGACTCCCGAGAGGCCTGCAGCATGGTCTGAAGCTGACCCCGAACACTTTCCATCTCAAAGATATGCTTAGAACCATCCTGGAAATAAACACAGGGAAATAATAGGCAACTGGTATAATCTATATTCTACCATGCCCAGGGTAGAAGTTTTACTCCAGCACCTGGGAGAGTGAGAAAAGCAAAACAGACCCAAAAAACAAGGCCTTAACCTTGAACCCAAGGGCCTGCAAAGAGCAGAAAGGAGTGAATCAAGTGGGCGGGTGTTAAGACTAAGGTGGCCGGGATTCTTGCCAAGTAAACAGCAACTCGTTCCAGCGAGGGCAAACACCCTGTCCACAGACCGTGTGGCCCATGGCTACCAGTTTTCAAACGCTGGAAGACCTGGGCCGTCTGAAGACTATGACACCTCTTCCATCCAACACTAATTACTACCTTCTGTGCAACGTGTGTCATTGATTAAACCGCGTTGTGCTGATTTACGTGCCAAACTGTGAACCACACAAAGAGCTTTGGTGCTGCAAGGATCCTAGCATAGTCCGCCTCTATCCTGAAGTTCCCAGTTCCCTCCTGAGACCAGGAAACCTCACCCAGACCCGCCATGCCCAGGTCCCAGCCATGGCACACCAGCCTGCCCCAGAGTGCAGGTGTCTCTGACAAAACACACCAAGGAGTTTCACAATTTTCCAAATTATAACGTTCCAGGTCATTCTCTGGCTCATAAACATTTGCTCCCAGGAATTAGCATGACTATGTACTTAAAGGCAATTTAAAATCCGGCAACAGGAGTACAAATCTCAGTTGGCACATCTCGGCATAGCTGTTTTGTTTTTCCTGCCCCCAAACCGAAGACTCTGGTGTCTGGTCCCCTAAAGGTCTCCAAGACACATGCCCCTCCCTCACCTTTTTCTTCAGGTTGTTCTCCAATCCGACCGACAAGCTGCGGCTCAACTCTTGGGCCAAGCCGTCTACAGCCTCACCGGGAGGCAAGGAGGTGGAGGGTAAATACAGCTGGGCGCGGGCTGTGGCCTCGGCCTGACGGCTGAGGTGCAAAGACGCATAGAGCTGGGAGGTCACCTCCGAGGACGCCTGGTTCAGGCCAGGGGGCTCTGAAGACTCACTCAGGAGATCCTCCGGCCGGAGGGGTGAACTGGGGCTGGTTGCTGAGGCTGCCATGAGCACGGGGGATGGACACCCCGGGGCAGCACAAAGCTGGGAACTCCTGGTTCCACTTTAGCAGCGTCCAGGGGGCACAGTTCACAGACAAGGAAGATTTAGGAAAAAGGAGGAAGACCCCAAGCCCAGGGTCCTCGGTGAATAAGGGTATGGAGACTTTCTGGTTACAGAAAAGTTTTCCACAGGCCATGGAGAGGGCAAAGACCTCCCTTTCCCCAGCTCTCAGGAAGGGTGGGAGAGGAGGGCACAGCGCAGAGGGGTGGGCGGAGGGGCAGCTGCGGGCCACAGCACCTCCGCAGGCCCGGGTGCCAGCTAGGAGGGCCGGAAGCTGCACATCAGCTCCGGCACCGGCACCGGCTACCCATGGTCAGCTCTCACACCCAGGCCCAGCAAGGGCTCCAGCTTCTGTCCGGCTGCCTCATGGGCGCCTCACTGGCTCCATTTTCAAGAGACGCAGGAACCTCACCCCGCCCACTTCACCGCTCTACCCAGGGTCAACTCCCTTGCAGAGCCCCTCTGACCCCTCCTGGCAAGAGAGCCATAGCAGGGCCCCCCAGAATACCCCCTCTGCCGCCCCAAAAGAAACCCCGGGAACCCTCAGTCACGATCTCAGACGGCTCTCACAAGCACGCCGCCCCCAAGCCTAGCCTGAGACCCTCGCCTCCAACCACCCCGTTCCGATTCCTCCCCACACCTCCGGTCCTCAGGCCTCAACTTGCCAAGGTGGAAACAGGGATTTCCCCCACCACTGAGCCCCGGCCCCAAAAGACCAAAGCCCCCTCCTCTCCCGCCGTCCTCCACACTCAAAACCGTTGGCAGCCTCCGCCCACTGCCCGCAGCCCCGCCTCGCTCGCCTCGATGACGTCACCAGCCCGCGAGACCAGACAGGCGGCCCCTCTGTTTCTGGATTCGAAGGTGCCCGGGTGCGCGTGCGCAGCCTCGGAGGCCACGGATTGGCTGAGAGAGAGGGAGGCGGAGTCTAACAGGCGTTATCGGGGCGGAGTTAATGTCCGGTCGCGGCAGCTTGAGGACCCGGTAAGGCGGGGCTCTTCGGAAGCCGGAAGTGGCCCTTGACGGGCACTCGGAGCAGTTCCGGTGAGTCCGGTGGTGGGGCCCCCACCTGTTTTAGCGATCCGGGGCTGAGAACCTGAGTCTGCGGGGTGGGGGCGGTCCCGTAGCGGGGCTCACATCTCCTGCCCTGCAGATGACTGTCCACAATCTGTACCTGTTTGACCGGAATGGAGTGTGTCTGCACTACAGCGAGTGGCACCGCAAGAAGCAAGCAGGGATCCCCAAGGAGGAGGTGACGAGAGGGCCTCGGCGCAGCCCGGGGGTCCTCGCATCTCTAAATGCACAGAGTCCCAGCCCAGCCCCGCTTCTCCAAACCCCGGTGCATCCCACCCCCACCCCGTCTCCCTCAACAGCCGAGACTAACTTTGCCCCTCTCCCTCCAGGAGTACAAGCTGATGTATGGGATGCTTTTCTCCATCCGCTCGTTTGTCAGCAAGATGTCCCCGCTAGACATGTACGGTGTCCGAGGGGGGTGTGGCGAGGAGGGCTAGCCTTGGGAGTTTGTGGCAGAGGGGAACTGCCTGGGGTGGAAGGGGGCTTAAAGAGAGAGGCTGAGTTCGGATCGAGTGTGCAGGAGCCTGCAGGAGCGGGGGGTGGGGAAGGGCTCAAAGTAGAGAGATTGCACAGGGGCTAAATTGAGGGACGCAGATGGGAGGCGTGTTCACTCCATATCCCACCGAGGCTATGCTTAGACGAAGCGGGGGTCGGCCTTGAAGGGGATCCAAAGGATTTCTTTGGGAGAACTTCCACTCCCATTCTTTAACACCGTCCTCATCTCTAGGAAAGATGGCTTTCTGGCCTTCCAAACTAGCCGTTACAAACTCCATTACTACGAGACGCCCACTGGGATCAAGGTTGTCATGAATACCGACCTGGGTGTGGGACCCATCCGAGATGTGCTGCACCATATCTACAGCGCGGTCAGTGCCAGCCCCAGGGACCCTTTCTCAGAGCCCCTTAACAGCCAGGGAGGTAGTCAGAGCCCCGAATGCCCCAGCTTCCCTGCCCTGATCCTATTGTGTTATATCTCTGTTGAAGTCAACACGGCCACCACCTAGTAACTCCTTGCTTGCCTCTCAGCCCCTACTCTGAGTGCGTTCACACACCTCTGAGGTTGTACTAGGTTTGGGGTTGAAAGGAGACGTGTGCAAAGCTCTGCTCTAATAGCCTTGCTCTCCGTAGCTGTACGTGGAGCTGGTGGTGAAGAATCCTCTGTGTCCCCTCGGCCAGACTGTGCAGAGTGAGCTCTTCCGCTCCCGACTGGACTCCTACGTCCGCTCTCTGCCCTTCTTCTCTGCCCGGGCTGGCTGACGCAGCTTGCCTCCTCTCTCAGGAGAATCTGAATTTGCCTGGGGCCTTCCTAACCTGTGGTGCCTGGGGGCCCCCACTGTAAACCCCCCCATCCACTCCCTCCCAGGTTTACACCCTAAAGCCGTGCTCTGGTGGCCCCAGGAATCCCTACACCTCTAAACCAGGCCCTTTCTCCAGTTTTATCCTTTCCTGACGCTGTGAGACGCACAAAATAAAGCTTTTGTCACCCTGTGCAGCCTGAGTGTGTTGGCTTGCGTGGGCCTTCCCAGTCCTGCCCTGCTCAGGCAGGTGGGACCCTGGGTGGCCGCACCCTCCCTCCCCCAAGGCCTGTAAAGAGGCTTTGGGCAATGCGCTTTTCAACACCGTCACTCACTGCTGACATTTCGGGCTGGCTAGTGCTGTGCTGTGGGAGCAGCCTTGTGTTCTGTTGGATTTTTAGCAGCATCCCTGGATGCCACTCACTAGATGTAGCACATCCCGCCTCACCGCCTCTCCTAACTACCACGAGTGTGTCCAAGCCTTGCCACACATCCCCTGGGAGACAAAAAAAAAAAAAAAAAATCCCTCCAACTGAGCGCGGCCGGGCAGGGGGAAGCGGACCTGCCTGCGGTCCCGCGGGCTGTGACGACCCAGCTAGGATCTGAGCTCCCAGACGTTCACACAGCGGCGCCTTCCGCAGGCGGGGCTTATGCAGATGCACCGCAGGTTCAGCAGGGAGGCGGGCGGCTCTATGCAGATAAGGGGGCGGTGCCTGCATGTTGATAAGCTGGGCCAGCTGCCGACGCGGCTGGCAGCCTGGCGGGTCCCGCTGCGGTTCGGGCAGAAGTGGCATCCCTCGGCTGCCACCCCTCGTCGCTAAGTCCCTACCCTCCGGGGACCGCCCTCGACCTTCACCCCGTTCCTTTCCCCCTCCTCCCTACACCAGCGCCCCCTTATTTGAGTTTTTCCATTCCGGGCGCCCCTCGCGTTTCTCCGCGCCCGCCTGGAGCCCCGCGACCTCCAGCAGTCCGCCCCCGCGGGCCTGATCCGACTTGGCGGCTCCCGCCGCAGCCTCCTCGGCCTTCCCGCTCTCCGGGGGCTCGCCCCACTACGTCGCCGGGAGTCCGCTCTCGAGTTTCCCTGCCTCCTGCTCCCGCCCCCTTGGAGCCCCCTCTCCCTCCCTCCCGGCCGGCATGCAGGTATCCATCGCGTGTACCGAGCAGAACCTTCGCAGCCGGAGCAGCGAAGACCGCCTGTGCGGACCCCGGCCGGGCCCCGGGGGCGGTAATGGGGGGCAGGTTGGCGGGGGGCACGGAAATCCTCCCGGGGGTGGAGGGCCGGGCTCCAAGACCCGAGTCGCACTGGTCCCCCGACCCCCAGCACCCGCTGGGGCCCTCCGAGAGAGCACCGGCCGAGGCACTGGCATGAAATACAGGTATGGGGGTGACCGGGCAGCCCACCCTATCCGCTCCCCTTTCGGAACCCCTGAGGCTTCCCGGGATGGCTGCCAAGACCCCTTCAAACTTTGCACAGAAGGTCTTGGTTTCTTCCCTTACTTGGTCCCTCTCTTAGTCTTCTCTCTGACTATGAGAGAATGAAGTTTACCAGGGCTGACTGGGACCTGTCAGACTCCAGGGATGCCCCGAACCTCCCTCCATACTCCTAGGAAGGCCAGAGATTCACCCCTCTCTGCACCTGCCCTCCAATGGCGTGTCCTTGGGTCGCTGTCCTGGGGAGAGGAGAGAGGGAAACAGCTTCTCACTCTGGCCGCAGGCTCAGGGCACCTGACCCAGATACTGTCCCCGCCTGCCCCAAGGGCCCAGTCTCTAGCGGCCTTTCTTGGCCAGGAAGGGAGTGGGGCCTATGGGAAGGATGGACCACAGCTCTCATCCGCATGCCAGCCAAGGGACAGGGATGTGCAGAGAAGGGGCCGGGAAATGTAACTGACTTTATTCCGGAGAACTGCCTGGCTGGAGTTTCTTGAAGCTCACAGTAGGCGGGAGGGCAGGGGCTTCTGCTTGGAAGTGAGCCAAGGTCACTGATCTGATCTGGCTTTTGTCACCTAAGAATCCAATCCCTTCCAGGTGGTGGCCATGAACCCACTGCCTGGGTGGGGGACCTTGGGGGAAGGAGGAGAAGGCTCACAGGTTCTGAGACATTTTTCACAAGCCAGCAGAAGAGGGAGAACCAGTGGTACTCGCCCCTCCCCCAGCTGTCCTGTCTGCCAAGCCTAGCCAGGGACCCTTGTCCATCTGAGTGCCTGAGTGTGGCTTGGTTTACCTCCTCCACACTGCTGTTGCCCTTGAGCATAGCTCGCTCGCTCTCTTCTGATAAAGTCACCACAGTCAGCCAGCCAAATCCCTCCCAGGACCCCCCACTCCACATGAGCCAGGGATGACTCAAACCCAGACGAGACCGTGCCCAGAAGAAGGAGGCACACCAGACGGCACACCTGCCGCGTGACAGGAGGAAATGAAGGCACTGGACAGTGGCTGTAGGGGAACAGTCACATGTTGGTTCACTTATTCTTTCAACACTGTTCCTAGGGCCTCAGCCACGAGCATATCACTGCCCAAGCCTATAGACCCACTGGGTCCAGTTCCTTAGGGCTGGGACAGGAGCTAGGGGCTGACCATCTGGGTCCCTAACAGAGGCTCTGCCCCTCCTGCTGCTTCTGTATTCTGCAGGAACCTAGGAAAGTCTGGTCTTCGGGTGTCCTGTCTTGGCCTAGGTGAGTTGAAATAGGAATTAAGGGAAGGGGCATTCTTCTACGGCCTGCCTCCCGAGGTTCTCATGTGCCTGGCTTCTCTCTCACAGGTACCTGGGTCACGTTCGGTTCTCAGATCTCAGATGAGGTATAAGTGACGGGACCTAGAAGGGCTGGGTGGTGGTGGTGGTGACAGAAGCAGAGAAAGGGGCAGTGCACCTGCGTTGGGGCACAAGCATGGGGAATGAGGTAACTGGGGGGCCCGGGGTTGACCTTCACCTTTCTCTCACCTCCCTAGACAGCAGAGGATGTGCTGACAGTAGCCTATGAGCATGGCATAAACCTGTTTGACACTGCCGAAGTGTACGCAGCAGGAAAGTAAGGACCGGGAGAAAGAGCTGTTATGCTGCAAGGTTGAGAGAACACCGGGCCTTCTTGTTTTTCCTCCAAAGAACCCTGGGAATTCTGAGAACATTCCACTCCAGCCTTTTAGCTTGGGGCACCCAAAGCATTCTGGGAGTTGTAGTGCTGACATCCATGCCTTTCTGACTCCGAGGTCAGTGAGCATACGGTGGCTCACAATGAATAAAGCAGCCCATAACACATATCCTGGGCGTCAGTAAAGTACAACGACGTAAGGACTAAGCGGGTTTTCAGACACTCCATGCCACATCACACACCGGGGACTTCACCCTTGGGAGTAGCCAAAACCTAGGAAGAGCTACCCCTGTTTTTTGTCCACCCGGCAAATACCTCTGCTCATCTTCAGGATTTGGCTCAAATGTCAGTCCTCAGGAAGCCCTTGCCCAGCTCGCGCAAAGTGGCCACCATCTCCCGTGAGCCCCATAGCACTTTATACTGCCTCTGGTCCACCGTTACTTAATTATGCAGCCACCTTCCCTGCTCAACTCGGAGCCCCTCCTTCCAGGGAACAAGTCTTGCCCTTCCCCGAGTACCAACCCAGAGCCTACACAAAGCAGGCACCACTTCTGGCATGAACTCAACATGTTCTCCAAAAGTGCACACTCTAAGTGGATAAACAAACAAAAATGAAGGGAAGATAGGAAAGACTGACTGTAACAGTCACCGTAACGATTTCAGACTTGTCACACGTTAGCTCATAACTGCATGCTCAAGAATCGTGTAGCTAATTCTGCGGAAGCTGACACGCAGGACTGACCACAGCCTGTGGCGACCAGAGCACATTTCAAGAATGAGAGCGAATCCAAGCTGAGTTTAGGAGGATGGGTGGGATGCTTGCAGAGGCTCAAAAGAAGGGAAGGCAGCTTAAGTCGCTGAAAGCAGGACAGGCAGTGTCCTCGCTGGGACCGCCACAGTCTGGGCCTCGCCTCTCAGTCTGTTCTGGCCCATTAGCACCCACAACAGGGCTCACACACCAGATATTTAACTGAGTGAATGAAAACAGTACGACTGCTGCACCCCTCATTCTGGGATGGGACTGAAAGCCCACAAGGGCTCCTGGCCTATGTTCTGCATCATAAGAGGAAAGTGGGGGGGAGGCAGGAACTGACCCACTCCGGCGGGGTCAGCGCCTCTGCCTTGCCTTTCTTCCAGGGCTGAAAGAACCCTAGGCAACATCCTCAAAAGCAAAGGTTGGAGGTGAGACGGAGGTGGGGTTGGGGGGGTGGCGGCGGCTGCTGAGCACATGGTCATCCAAAATTGCTGTTTCTGCAATTTGTTTTTTTTTTCCTCCAGGAGATCAAGCTATGTCATCACCACCAAGATTTTTTGGGGAGGACAGTAAGTGGCTGCCCCACTAGGGTTAGGAAGAAGCCCTGCGGAGGAGGTATATGGCATGGGCGTGGGGACAGCTGTCCGTCATCTGCTGCTGCAGGTCCACATCCTGTCCACAGGGACCCTCCCCCACCCAGTGCTCATGGCTCCTGACCAGCCCTGGTTCTGTCTCTTCGTCACATCTCATCTTTCACTTCACCTTTTCCTACAGGGCAGAAACTGAACGAGGCCTGAGCCGCAAACACATCATCGAGGGTGAGTTCAGGCTGGGTCTGGCAGCCTGAGGAGCAGGGGGTGCTCTGAAGCCTGGGCTGGAGGCGCTGAATGGGGAGGTAGACGGCCCCGACAAGGGGGTACGGCCTGAACGCTGCGTAAACGCAGGCTGTCTCCCCACCCCAACCTGCAGGTTTGCGAGGGTCCCTGGAGCGCCTCCAGCTGGGATATGTGGACATTGTCTTCGCCAATCGCTCAGACCCCAACAGCCCTATGGAGGGTAAAAGCAGTGTCCCCGAACCAGTCCTCTCAAGCTGAGCATTTCCTAAGACCCACAGTGGAGGCTCAGACCCACGAGTTGGATGGGGGGGTGGGGCAGAGGACAGCCAATGAGCCACACGCAGAGCTGCCTGGGGGTTTCCGTGGGGCAGGTGGAGGTCTGCAGGTGGGCAGGAGCCCAGTAGTGAAGCTCTCCCTGTCCTCCCGTGTGCCTAGAGATTGTGCGAGCCATGACCTACGTCATCAACCAGGGCCTGGCCCTATACTGGGGGACATCCCGATGGGGGGCTGCGGAAATCATGGTGAGTGTGTAAACCCACCCCTGGCGCCCTACGCCACACGGCTTCCCACCGCACCAGGGGGAGGGGCAGGGAAGGAATGGCAGGAGTGCCATGACCCCGTCTCTGTCCCCCGCTCCAACCCAGGAGGCCTACTCCATGGCCAGACAGTTCAATCTGACCCCTCCTGTGTGTGAACAAGCGGAGAACCACCTCTTTCAGAGGGAGAAGGTGGAGATGCAGCTGCCAGAGCTCTACCACAAGATCGGTTCGCAGCCCCCTCATTCCTGCCTTCCCCTCAGCCTGACCTGCCGCCCAGGTCCCCTTCCCCACACCCACTCCCCTGTTCCTCTTAGGTGTTGGCTCAGTCACCTGGTCCCCCCTGGCCTGCGGCCTCATCACCAGCAAGTATGATGGGCGAGTCCCAGATACGTGCAGGGCCGCCATCAAGGTGAGGTTCGGGCTGCTGTGTGTGTATGGCCGTGGGCGGGAGGTGTCCTTTGCTGATTCTGCTTGGTCTGCAGGGCTACCAGTGGCTCAAGGACAAAGTGCAGAGTGAGGATGGCAAGAAGCAACAAGCCAAAGTGATGGACCTTCTCCCCATCGCCAACCAGCTGGGCTGCACTGCGGCTCAGCTTGCTATCGGTGAGACACTGGTAGCCTTGGACCCTGCAGGGCCCCCGTCTCCTCCCAGACCCGTCCTAAGTCTGGTTGGCCCCTTGGGAGGACCCTCGGCTTGCCACACTTCCGAAGCCCCTGTGCACCCCGTTCCCATCAGTTCTCTGTGTTTCCTCCTCTGGCCTCAGCCTGGTGTCTCCGCAGCGAGGGTGTCAGCTCCGTCTTGCTAGGGGTGTCGAGTGCAGAGCAGCTGATGGAACACCTGGGCGCCCTACAGGTGAGCTGGAGACAGGGGCAGAGGTCCCCTGTCCCTTTGCCCAGGCGTCCCAGCCATGCTGGCGTCACACTACAGAGTCCTCCCTTTGCTGGCGGGAGCTCTCAGGGCGACCAGCTGTGTGTGGCAGGTGCACAGCCGCCACTTCCTTGGGTTCTCCAATCTGCTGCCCTCCCCACCGCCCCGTTGTCCTGCAGGTGCTCAGCCAGCTGACCCCGCAGACAGTGATGGAGATAGACGTGCTCCTGGGGAACAAGCCACATCCCAAGAAATAGTCCATCGAGGGCGCGGGGACCCAGCCCGGGCGGCGCAGGAACGCAGCCCGGAGCAACCGCACCTGCCCAACAACAGCTTCCCGGCGCCGCCTCTTTCCCCCTCCGGAACCCCACCCCGGGCAGCCACCGGAGCCAGGGTCGCCCCGCCCACCAACGAGTTCCGGCCGAGTAGCGAAACGCATGACGAATAAAGCCATATCCTCCCGCAGCGGGGCTGCCGAGAGAAAGTAGTCCGCCCACCCCGGCTGCTCCCTCTAGGCCTCCTTGCTAATCCCGGCACGAGCTACGGGCCACCCCCTCTCTGCCTCTTGGTCTCATGCCTTTCTCTCAACCCTCTATTGCCGAGGCCAGGAAAAAAAAAAAAAAAAAGGAAGACACCAGCAGATATAAGAAATATGCAGAGCACCCCAAAAGTGGCCCTTGAAATGTTCTCCGTGGCGATGACCTAATGAATGAGTTGTGACGTCATCTGGGACCTAAGCGGGGCTCCACGGCTGTGCAGCATGGAGGAAGCCAGGCTGGTCCTGGCCGGAAGTAAATGATACTTGTCGGAAAACCAGGGCCCCGCTCCCAGGCCGGCAGTGGAGGGCTTGCATCTAGAAGTAGCAGCGCCCCTTGTTCTTGCAAAGAAGGGGCACGCGATTCAGGGCCGCGGCACAGTGAGCAAGGCCTAGGGAAATGTCACCGCCGATGCACAACGTGGTGTGGCACCATGGCCAGGATGGCTCCAGGTGAAATGGGGGCTGTGCTCCCCAGCCTTTGGCTCAGGCCAGAGGCGTGGGGCCGTGGTGAAGACCTGGGGCAGGACTTCCTGCCTGGCGGTGGAGGATAGCAGCCTTGCTCCCGGCAATAATCCTACAGCAATAACGTGGCCCCTCTTCTGTAGGACTTCCCAGGGAACTGTAAATAAAACCTCAGCTTGAGCCTCACAGTGTCTGAGCTGCAGGCTGTGTGTCTGGGAGAGGTCAGGGTTGCGGGCTCACAGGGGCCGGGCTCCTTTGCGTCCACTGATCCTCCACCTTGGGGACCTGGCTCCTGGTCACTGCTCTCACAAGGACCCGGGCCCCGAGGGGGTCACAGTCCTTAGAACCCAGAGATTCGGCTCCTCTTTCTGTGAAAGTCCCACGGTGTGACACCTTGCCATTGTCTCTGCGTGTCCGTGAGCCTCAGTTGACTTCCCTGTCCTCCCTTCCCCCTGGCCCGATGCCCACGCCTATGCCCAGGAACTGGTTGGGTGGAGAGGCTGTTCTGAGGGTGGTGAGGATTCGGGGTGTGCAGGAGGAGAGATGAAGTGAAGACTGGTCACTGGTTGGAGCAAAACAGAGATACAATTTTTTTTTTTTTTGACAGGCAGAGTGGACAGTGAGAGAGAGAGAGAGAGAGAAAGGTCTTCCTTTGCCGTTGGTTCACCCTCCAATGGCCGCCGCGGCAGGCACGCTGCAGCCGGCGCACCGCGCTGATCCGAAGGCAGGAGCCAGGTGCTTCTCCTGGTCTCCCATGGGGTGCAGGGCCCAAGCACTTGGGCCATCCTCCACTGCACTCCCGGGCCACAGCAGAGAGCTGGCCTGGAAGAGGGGCAACCGGGACAGAATCCGGCGCCCCGACCGGGACTAGAACCTGGTGTGCCAGCGCCGCAAGGAGGAGGATTAGCCTAGTGAGCTGTGGCGCCGGCAGAGATACAATTTTTTAAAAAATAATAAAATAAGTGAAAGATCAGGTGTGAGGGTGGTGGAAAAGCAGATGAAATGGGGCTGAGTCCTGTTCTTCCCCCCAGAGAACTCTCATTTCCAGGGGAAAGAGAACAGGTGGAAAGTAACAACCTGTGCAGGTCACAGGAGGAGCCCCGCCTGCCTTCCATACAACCCGGCAGTCTCCCTTCTACCCAGCCCCAGGCAGCCTTGATCTTGAGGCCAGGAGAGCCGAGGGCACTGCTTTCCAAAGAGAAAAGCCAGCAGCATGCCATTTACTGGATTAGCACCAACCAGAGCAACTCGGGAGCACGCTCCACTCCCCTCCTGGAAGAGTGGAGGAAGCAAAGTAAAAGGCATGGCTAGACTGTGATGAGTTATTCTGTAGCAAACACACCCTAGCAGATCCCTTCCAGCAGTATTCTCCAGAGTTACCTCCCGCGTATACTCTAAATTTAGTGATGCCTCCCCCCTCCCACTCCTGACCCTGCATAAAACATCTTACAAACTTCTTGTAGAATAAACCCCCTTGGGGGTGGTGCTGTGGTGTAGTGGGTAAGCTGCCACCTCCAGTGCCGGCATCCCATATGGGCACCAGTTCCAGTCCTGGCTGCTCCACTTCTGATCCAGCTCTCTGCTATGGCCTGGGAAAGCAGTAGAAGATGGCCCAAGTCCTTGGGCCCCTGCACCTGCATGGGAGACCTGGAAGAAGCTCCTGGCTCCTGGCTTCAGATCAGCGCAGCTCCAGCTGCTGCAGCCAATTGGGAAGTGAGCCAATGGATGGAAGACCTCTCTCTCTCCCTCTCCCTCTCTGCATCTCCTTCTCTTTCTGTGTAACTCCGATTCTCAAGTAAGTAACTAAATATTAAAAAAAAAAATTACCTGCCTCTGAAGGAAAAAAAAAAAGCTTCATTTACTGCCATGCCTCCTTTGCATTTAAACATCTGCTCTACTTAGCATTCACCTCACTCGTTGATTTAACAAGTGTCTGTTTATGGAGTCCTTCCATGGTGTGGCACAGGAATACAGTGGCACGGGGTGGGGGGAGATGCAGAAAAACCATGTGGGTTACTGACAGGAGAGGCAATCACACAACCACTAAACAAATACAACTTCGGTTGTCCAAAGTCCAGAGGAACGCACACGGTGCTTCCAGAGCGTGTTTGACACAGTGAGGCTGGACCGAGTGCTGAGTGATGTGCGGGTGTCAATAAGGTGAGACCGAGAGCCTTAGAGCCACAGCACATGCACAGGCCCTGAGCAAGGCAAGATCGCCAAGGGAATGGAAGCAGACTGTGAGTCCCGGGGGAGTTTAGGGCCTCACGGGGCACTTGGGAATATTATCTTTCTCCTAAGGACAGAGGAAACGCTCTAATATCCCAGTAAATTGCATCAAAAACTAAATGGCTTGCAACAACTTTTAAAAATTGTCCCCTTGGCCGGCGCGGTGGCTCACTAGGCTAATTCTCCGCCTTGCGGCGCTGGCCACCGGGTTCTAGTCCTGGTCGGGGCGCCGGATTCTGTCCCGGTTGCACCTCTTCCAGGCCAGCTCTCTGCTGTGGCCAGGGAGTGCAGTGCAGGATGGCCCAGGTGCTTGGGCCCTGCACCCCATGGGAGACCAGGAGAAGCACCTGGCTCCTGCCATCGGATCAGCGCGGTGCGCCAGCGGCTGCGGCCATTGGAGGGTGAACCAACGGCAAAGGAAGACCTTTCTCTCTCTCTCTCTCTCACTGTCCACTCTGCCTGTCAAAAAAAAAAAAAAAAAATTGTCCCTCCCCTCCCCGACTGTAGGTTGGCCTGGAGGGCCTTGGCTGTTTTCACCTGGCCTGCACCCAGCTGGCAGGTGGGCTGAGCGGGGACATTCAGGCTGGCCTGGCAGCTGGTGCCAGCTCAGGAAAGGGTTCCTCCGTCCTCCTCCGCGGGGCCTCGTCCTCCAGGGGTCCCGGCCACCTTCCCTCCACGCCAATTCAGCGCAGTATGGGGGTGGGGGAGCGGCAGAGACAAAGGCAGAAGCTGCAAGGTGTCTCCGAAGGCCTGGGCTCCAGAACTCTCCGCCTTCTCTCCTTCAAACCGAGTCGGGTGGCCGGCCTGCATTCAAGGGGTAGGGAAGTAGACCCCAATTCTTGCTGGGAGAAGCAGCGAAGTCAGGTGCAAATAAAATGGGGGTCATGGATGCACCGGCACATTAAAAGGTCTTAAACAGGAGTGGAAAGACTGTGTGGTAGGGCAGGGTTTGAACTCAAGCCAGCTGGTCCCAGACTGTGCCATCACCCTCTGCGACAGACCCTGGGCTAAGTCCACCACACCAGGAGGAGGCACTGGCTGTGGGTGTGGCCCCACGAGGGAGCGCCACGTCCTGTTTACCTGTGGGGGAAGTCAGACCCCTGAGTCACAAGTCATATGCTGGGCACCCTGCTGGAGTGTGGGTGTCCTGATACTCCTGAAGGGAAAGATTCCCAGCATTCCTAAGGCCATGCGCCTAGGCTTTAGATGGTGGAGAATGAAATTTGGGGAGCCAGGCTTACGTCCCACGAGGTCTTGCATCAGAACCACGGCGGAATGGGAGCTGACTGTGGGGCAGGATCGCTTCAAATGCCCAGGAACTCCCTAAAAGCCGGGGAACTACCCGGCCTGGGCAGCTTCGTTGGGTGGGGTTGTGAAAGCATGAGCAGGGAGCCAACAGGACAAGGGGGCTTTAGAGACCTGAGATATGGGCTGCGGAAGGGACCTGGAGATCCGTACACGATGCAGTTAAGGGGGCTCTAGCGCTGTGCTAGGGTTTCTGAAAGATGTGGACGGAAGAATGCGTGGTGCGTCTCCGGGGTCCCAGTCCTGGCGCAGCCCGGGCCGCCGGCCCCACTCCGCCATCGCTGGCATTCCGGACCTCGCCTCTGCCGCCCCCACGCGTGCCGCCGCTGGGAGCGGCCCGCCCGCCGCGTGACGCCTCCAGGGCTGGGCCCCACTATTAAAAGGAGCGAGAGGCCGCGGCGCCGGCCCCAGGACGCGACCCGGGCCCCAGGAGGGCCCGATCGTTCTATCCACGGCGCGGGGCACGATGCAGCTCCTGGTGAGGGTGCCCTCCCTGCCGGAACGGGGCGAGCTGGACTGCAGTATCTGCTACCGGCCTTTCGACCTCGGGGACCGCGCGCCCCGCCGCCTGCCCGGCACGGCGCGCGCCCGCTGCGGCCACACGCTCTGCACCGCCTGCCTGCGCGAACTCGCGGCGCGCGGCGACGGCGGCGGGGCGGCCGCGCGCGTGGTGCGCCTGCGCCGCGTCGTCACGTGTCCGTTCTGCCGCGCGCCCACCCCGCTCCCGCGTGGAGGCGTCACGGAGGTAGCTGTGGACCCCGGCTTGTGGTCGCGACTGGAGGAGAAAGCGCGGGCCCAGGGCGATCGAGATGTGGCGGGGAGCCCGGTCAAGGAGAGCGGCGACGCCGACCCAGAGGCCGACCGCGAGGAAGAGGAGAGCGAGGACGGGGCGGGGCCTAGGAGCGCGGGGTGGCGCGCGCTCCGGCGCCTCTGGGACCGGGTGCTCGCGCCCGCGCGCCGCTGGCGGCGTCCGCTGCCTAGCAACGGTGAGGGGCCGCGGCCGGAGGATGCTGGGCTCGGGCTGCACCGCGCTGCCGCCTCTGACCACGTTCCTTTCCCCCCCGCAGTGCTCTACTGTCCGGAGATTAAGGACATTGCACACATGACCCGTTGCACGCTGTAACCGAGGAACTCGGGAGCTGTGGCAGAAGCAAGGTGGGAGCTGCCGTCTCCGCCGTGCGTTTTAGTCCAGGGAGCTGATGTCAAGACTGTGTGGAGCCCGGAATTGACCTCTGATGAGGGAGTTGAGACGAGGGCAGGAGGGAACGCCCCGGGAGGAGTTGGTGCTGAGCTGGGGAGGCTGCTAAACCATCTCGCCCCCATCTGCTGACTGCCAGCCCTACATTTCCAGGATGGAGTGGCTCACGGAGGATGTAAACAAAGCCTGCGTTACCGTGGGAAGAAGCCAGACTGTTTTCTGAGCTGTGACTTTGGCTTCTGTCCAGGGCGGCGCTGGTGTGTGGGAGCAACAGGTCCCATTTTAGCAGTTGCCAATGGCACGGGAGAGACGAGGCAGACTGTGTCATAGTCATCTCACTCTGGCATCCAGAAGGATGCGGGTGTGTGGGCTCTTCAGTCCCAGGCCTGTGTTCCCAAAAACTGGGATGACTCCCCTGCCTCTCAGATTAGGAGCCTTGCTTCATTTCAGAATCCAGGGGTCACCTCATTAGGGCTTCTCAGGGATGAAAGAGCGAGCTACTTGGTAAAGGCATCAGATTTTAAAGTTCTGATATTGTGCTATCTTTAGTCATAGGGAAACACTGACTACTTAAGAAACAAGATGCTCGTACAGGTTTAAACTCGTATCCCATAGTGGGATGTCCTTATTATAAATCATGGTCTGTTTTGAAATTGTTTTATGATCTGGTATAGTCATAGTGAAGGGCTCACAGCACTGGTGTCACCAGGAACGTGCTGGAACTGCAGAATCTCACTCGACTATTAAATCAGACCCTGCGTTTTAACAATCCCAGGTGATTTGTGTGCATGTAAGATTTAAGAAGCACTCGTCTGGATACTCTAGGATGTCACCAACTGTGGGTGGAATACTGGAAACGTAACTGATACTGTTTTATTGAAAAGTTCTAAAGTAATGCTGTGTTGCTTAAAAAAAAAAAAAAGTTTTTTTGTGGCCGGTGCTGTAGAGTAGCTGCAGTCTGCAGTGCCAGCATCCCCTGTGGGCGCCGGTTCGAGTCCTGGCTGCTCCACTTGTGATCCAGCTCCCTGCTGATGTGCCTGGGAAAGCAGCAGAAGATGGCCCACATCCGTGGGCCCCTGCATCCAAGTGAGAGACCTGGAAGAGGTTCCTGGCTGCTGGCTTCAGCCTGGCCCAGCCTCAGCTGTTGTGGCCATTTAGGGAGTGAACCGATGGGTGGAAGATCTGTCTCACCTCTCTGTAATTCTGCCTTTCAGACAAATAAATCTTTAACAGAAAAAGATAAATGTTTTTCTCTGAGCCAAAAATATGACCTTGAAGATAAACAACTTTTTAGGAGGTCTCCAGATTGTTACTCTGATGGACAAATCATACACTTGATCTTAGCCAAACGGCTGAGAAGTGACCAGTGACGAATCACAGATGTATACACGTATGGCTTACAGATCTCAGTTCTTAAGAACTGTACCTTGGCGTTTTCCTGTCCGTAAGTCTCGGCTTAAATTTAGTTCCTCCTCTTGTGTTTTTTGTCGTCTCTCTCTTGAGGTGTTGGGGTGTCCCCCACTGGAGTCCTCTGAGTACTGACTTGGGAGTTTCTAGCTCTAGGGCCAGCACCAGCCTGCGTTATCTGTCCGGAGTACGTAACTGTTGGGCTTGTCTCTGCTCTTTAATGATAGCCTCAAGAACTCAGTGTCTGGCCTCTCAGCCTCTGAGAGCCCCTGCTAGGGACAAGTGCAGCAGCCCAGTTTTTGGCAAGGCACACACACAGGTCTGACCCCATTAAAGAAGAGTGGGTCCCTTTGCTGCAGAGTGGAACTGAACCCGTGGGGCTGCAGTGCCCTCTACTGACTGCTCGGGGACCAGGCCGCACAGCTCGGAACCCCGCTGCGCAGCCTCCACCGCACCTCGCCCAGAAGCCCCGCTCCGCTGCGCCTCCCCGAGGCCACGGAGGCAGCCACCTCCACACTGAGCTCACCACGTGGCTAGGGTGGAAAAGGAGCCCCGCGTTTCCTGAATGATCCGAGAAATAAAAACGAAGAAAAGGAAGTTAACTGAAGATTTTTTTTAAATAAAATGAAAAAGATGGATAATATGAAATGGCAGAAAGCGATAACCTTTCTTAATCCCTTACCCACCCCCAGCCAAAAATAACAGAGCACACAGAAAGGAAAGTATAATTTATATGTACAACCAATAAACCTGATACAGAAGAGGGGATCGGGCAGACAGGAGCGGGTGTGGAGAGAGACTGGGAGAGGGGCAGCAAGAAGTGAAGGGGCAGCGCAGAAGTGGGGGGTTCGCCATGCAAACTGCCACTGTCCCCGACCCGTGGGGACGGGGATGTGCCCACATCTCCTGGCCTGCCCTCCACTATTTTGCTCTAGTCCCAAAGGCAGAACAGTCCCCTGACTAGGCCCCTTGCCTGACACACTCAAATGTGGTCTGTGTGCAGGCCCTCGGAGGGCGGGCAGAAGTCCTCCAGAAGCCGAGCCCTGGCCCCGGGCGTTCCCCCAAGGCTGGCCTGTGGTCTTCTCTCCCACCCTTTCTAGGTTACCTGGGTCCCTAGAACAGGTTGGGGAGCTCCTCTTTGGCTTGAGGGAGTATCGCCCAACCATTATTCTTTTTGTGTGTGGGGGGGTCCTTGGAGGGTTAAGAATCCCAACACAAGATGCCGGTACGCAGGAGGTAACAGCCAGTGAACGGCGCCTTTATTCTGAGGCTGAACAGCAATGGGCTCCCTCCCTCGTAACTGCTCCCCCCTCCGTTGGGGGAGAGATGGGGGGGTAACATGCAGCCACCCCGCCTCTTCCCTTTCTCCCTCCCAGCGTTCATTTCATCCCTCTCTAAAAGTCCCCCTCCTCTCTGCAAAGCTCTTCTTCCCCCACAAAATTTCCTAAAGGCCAGGCAAGGCTAGTCCCCTACGTCTGCAGGAGATGGAGCTGATATTGCGGTTGGGAGGGGGGGAGACCAGGGAGGCGCCGCCTCTTTCCTCCCCACAGCCGCTTACTGGGAAGCTGCGTCTATCTGGCAGTGGGGGGATCAAGGTACGCGAAGACCCTGCGAACAGTCCCCCACCCAGGGCTCTTCTCACCGGCACAGTCCTCAGAGCTCGGTGGGACAGGTGCGGGGGCGTGGAGAAAGACAAAGGGCCCTTCCTGAAGACAGGAGTTGCAGAGAGGGGCCGCGGGGCGCCTAGTCCAGCGGTGGCCCCAGGGGTGGGGAAGGTGGAGGGTCGGCAGCAGGCCCCAGAGCCTGAGCAGGGGGTCGGCCTCGGGGACGGGGCCTGGGTGAAGGGCAGGCCTGGGGTCCAGTCAGTCGTCTATACAGATCACCTCCCCGGCTCGGGGCTCCTTCCGATCCAGCCCGTCTGGCACCAGCGCCCCCACCGCTTCCTTCTCCTTCTTCACCAGCACTGGAGGGCCGTTGGTGGCGGCTGTTTGCGAAGCGGGTAGGGAGAGGTGAACCCCGCGGCACTCCCAAGGTCGCATCCTGTCTGTCAGTCTCCTGCCACATGGTTCTCCTGGGAAGGGCTGGGGAGGCCTGCACGGAGCCCTCCCTCCTGCTGAGGTCCCCTGTTGTGCGGCAGCACTGAGCTCCAGTTCCAGCTCTTTCTATACCATTCTGACGTCACCTTCACCTACCCTTGAAGGGCCCCGGATGCAAGAGGCTTGGGTAGGAGCTAACCCAGCCGCAAAACTACCAAAACCCTGGGCGAGGTTTTTGACAATGGGGATGAAGAGGGGTTAAGAAAGGGATGGGAAGAACGGAGCCCAGGCGGCAGGGATGCGCCTGGCAAGGGAGGAGGGGAGAGGAGCGGCGGGAGCAGAAACCACGGCTCACCTGTGATGAAGGACCCTGCAGGCATCTGGCTGTAATTGGCGCCTGCGGCGGCCAGAGCCCCTACGGGGGCGGCGCTGAAGGCCACCCCGTACCCCGGGGGTGTGGCATAGGGACCCGGGGGGAAGGCCTGGAACAGAGAGGAGTCAGTCAGAGTCAGTCCAGGGTCCTGGAGAGCCAGGAAGCTGCAGGGGCAACCACGCAGGCAGGGAGACTCACTCGGGGGTGATGACTGCGTCTAGCAAGTTGTTTTTCCACACTGTTTAGGATTCTGATGGAGGTGTTTACATGTGTGCGTGAGGAGCACCCACAGGGAGAACTGGAGTTAGGGGCAAGAGGGTTACCGGTGTGGGGTGCGGCTCCGCGCCCTTGCTGGCCAGCCGGCTGAGGATGCTGCGCTCGGACATCTGAAGGCGGGCTGCGATGGGGGGTATTCTGGACAGCGTGGCTGGCAGGCGGGTCACGTCCGCCTTCATGTCGCTCAGCAACTCCTCCAGCTGGTTCAGAACTGGGGCCCGGGCCACGGAGAAAGAAGGGCAAGAGAAAGACAGGGAAAGAGAGAGGTGGAGCCAGGAAAAGACAGGAGTCAGGTGTAGAGAGAGAGACAGAGAGAGACAGAGAAAGGGGGCAGGGGTGTCAAAGAACCAGAGACCAAGAAAGTGACAGAAGTATATGGAAAAAGGAAAGCAACTCAGGGGAAGAGAAGAAGTGTTAGGAAAAGAGACAGAGACCAGGCCACCAGAGGACAGAGAGAGGAAGAAGGAAGGAAAGGAGAACGTGGAGAGGAGGGAGATGGGGGGACATTGGAAGACACGGGGGCGGGGAGTTGTCAGAACATCCCGTACTGGAAGAGTGAGGTTTGGGGTGGGGGAGGGGGGGAGGAAACGGCAGGGGCACGGGAGGCGGGAAGTCGTGTCAAAGACTTAAGGAATCAAAGCTTTAATATGTCAGGGAAGAGGGAGGTTAGAGGATCAGTAAGTACAGATTCAAAGAATTATGAGGGTCACAGGGGCCAGGAGTCAGTCCCTCCGCCAGGCAGGATTAGATGGTTACAGGGCTCTGGGATGGAATCTATCATTAACGAGGTAGGAGGGTGTGGAAGGCAGGGTTGAGGGTCACAGGGAAGTTCTGTGGGGGCAGGGCAGAGGGGTGGGTGGGTGGTAGATTCTGCCTCGTGAGCCAATGTGATCTGCAGGGTTGCAGCTGAGACTTTCCGTGGCATGCACACAGCCAAGACTCCCAATGGGGCGGTCAGAGCAGGGTGGCAGGCGTGCAGCTCCACCGCCAGTGGCCAGTGAGGAGGTCCCACTGTGTGGCGTGGGCAGGGACTCTCGGGGTAGGGGTCCCTCTACTGGGCACTGATGTGAATGCTCTCAGGCATGGATGAGGCTCGGCTCATCTTAGAGGCTACAAACCAAGCGAGTGCCAAGTGGGCTAGGGGTGGGGGTTAGGGGTGGGGGGGTGGTTCAGAGGGTAAAGGGTTCAGAGGGGTGGGGAGATTTTGAGGGGTGCGGGGTGAAGACTTACGCAGCGTTGTGGGCCCTCCCCCGCGCGGGGCCGCCGCGGCCCTTACCCTTGTGCAGGACGGCGTTGGCCGGCTTGTTCCCCGCCAGAGACTCCTTGGAGAGGTGCTGGTGGCTCTCGGCCAGGCACTCGGCCTCGGCGAAGCGGGCGTGGAGGGCCATGGCGGGGTGCGCCGGCTCCTGCGACAGGTTCAGGTAGGCCGCCCGCCGCAGCTGCTCCTCTATCACCAGCGCCTGCTCCAGGAGCTGAGGACACAGGGGTTGGGGCTGGGGGTGAACGCGGGCTCTGCCAGCAGTGGGTGAGACAACGGAAGACCCCACAGCACTGGAGACCCACTGGGTCCTCACTGCAGGCCCAGGGCACTGCCCCCCCCCCCCCCCCCCCGGCTCCACACTGTGACCCCAGCATCAACCCTGATCCGGACCGCAGCCCCAAACACGAAGCTCCGCCTTGGTCTCAGCCTCGGAGGTGTGCACCTTCCCAGGGCTCCACCAGACCTGCCCACTCCCAGCCCGACCCGGGCCCTCCTGCACTCTGTTCCATTCCTCCCTCATTCCCACCTTGAACCTCCGGGCCAGGAATTTGTTTTTCATCTCCAGAAAGTTCCCCTTATTGGCCTCAGTTTTAAATGGCTCATTGATAATGGCAAACTGAGCATCATTCTGGATGTCCTGCCACCGTGCGTAGCCATGGCTGCCAATGAAGGGGAGGGAACCGTCAAGGAATTTAACAGGGACGTGCCTGCGAAAACCTCCTCCCTTTGGTCTGATCTCCCCAAAGTCTGGCACGAACGCCCCTGCTCTCAACGTGAACTCTGTCTTCTCCATGGCTCCCCTCTCCCTAAGAGGACCTTTCTCTTCCTGTATTTGTATCGAAGGATACAGGACAATCCCGGCCAGAAGCCAATAGTCATGTCTTCGGTGCCAGATCTCGTTGAGTTTCCCGGAAGAAATAGCTGCCCGCTCCTCGTTCTGCCACAGCGTATGAAGCTCTGAAGAGAAGACAGCAGACAGAACAGGCATCGGGGGCTGCAAACCACATCGCGTCCGACAGACAAGTACAGGTGGGAAGACAGCGACAGTGGGACACTAAGGGCGCTGTAGACCAGGTAGAGGCTAGGTGAGGAATGAAGTTAGGAGCAGGATTCAAGTTCGGTTGAAGAGTGAGGGTGGGATTAGAGATGCAGTTGGGAGGTGACCGAAGGACGATGCAGAGCAGGGGCCAGCGTCAGCACGCACCACCTCGTTGCAGTCACTCGAGCAGAAGGCTCAGGCACAATGAGAATTCCCTCCCCTCCCCCGCCACGAGCAACTCCCAGTGAGGCGCAGACAGGGCCAAGAACTTCCTGTACCTGTGAAGCCACCGTCTGCGATATTGAACATGAACCGGGGCTTCTCTGCCTTCTCCTCGCGGCGCCCACTGGACCGTGGCTCATCCCGGGGCCCAGGTCGAAGCTCCCGGTCACCTTTTGCATCTTCTGCTGCGACAGACAGGGCAAGGCTCACCCCTCAGGACGGTCTCCTCCCACGTCCCAGACTACCACTGGCACTGTACTGGCCACTGGAACAGTGGCCCACCCAGGACCCAGGCATTTGCAACCCCAGACTCCACCTCCCCTGATTCCCTCCGGGCCCCGGGTGTCCAGTCCTTCCACTCATTACCTCTCTTGCCCAAATCCCCTGTTTCCCTCTCCGGCCTCTCCCTGTGTTCCTGTCCATCCAGCGGCTTCTCCTCCCCCCTTTCTCCTGGCGTCGACTCTGTGGCTGTGGGAGGGGGCAGGGGATAGGAAGGGAGGCCGTCACCCTCATCCCCTGGCCCTGGGAGAGGGGATCCCCAGGTTCTAAGGCCCCATCATCCCTCAGGCCCGGCACTCACCTGACTTCTCTCTGTCCCCTCGGAACCCAGATTCGGGCTCCATCTCTCCAGGCGCCCCTGGGATCTCATCCTCTAAGGGAATCCTCCTTGGCTCCAGCCGCTCCCCAAGAGAGGGGGCAGGGCTGGGAGCCTCAGCCTAGAGGACAATGGAGTCAGGATGAGCTGGGCGCTCCCAGGCTCCAGCCCCCGGGACCCTACAGGCCCTGTCCTCAGGGGAGCCGGGCAGCCACACACCTCTGTCTCCATCTTCTCCCCAAGTCTGCTGTTCTTCTCTGGCTTCTCCTCTTGGCTTCCAGCTTCATCTTTCTCAAGAGGCGTCCTTATGCCTTCTCCTTTCTCGCTTGGAGCTGGAGTAGCTGCAGAGGGGAAGGCGGAGTGAGCAAGGCAGCCGTTCCCCGACCCAGACTCCTGACCCCACCTCTGTCTGCCCCGCCCTCCCTGCCCCTGGTTACCAGGCTTGGAGGTGCAGGGACTGTTGGTGGCAGAAGCCTCGGGAGTGGTAGGAGACGTTTTGGTCGGAGAGGAGGCTCGGGAGGAGCGCTTGGAGTCGGCGCTGGGATCAGGCATCAGCTCTGGCATTGACCAGCGCCCGTTGATGTGCTCAAACTCCTGCACCTGGTGGGTGGGCGTCATGGGCCAGAGGTCAGCTCGAGGCACCGGACACTCGGGAAGCTCCTAGCCCGTGTCTTGCCCTAGTGTGACTGCACAACCCAAGAATGGAAGACAGAGGAAAGACAGGGCCAAGGGGCCAGCTGACGCTTTGGGCGACGGGAAGACTGATACCTTCTTCTTCACGAGAGACATGACTCCGATGCGGGTCAGCACCTGCTGGCGACTCAGTCCCTCCCGGGGGACTCCATCAGCGAAGGTCTCTGAGCCGTCTGCCCCAGGCTCACACAGATGGCGCATGAACAGAGACACATAGGCCCTAGGAGCATGGGGGTGGGAGGGGGTTAGGGAGCCTCAGAAGGGGTACAGGGCAGTGAGGGAGGCACAGGAATTACTGAACTCAGGTGCCCCCAGGTTCCTCCCCTGGGCCTCTCCCCCTTGCCACTCTCAGCCCCCCAAATCCTAACTCTCCGTTATGCCCTTCCGCCCTCCCCCACAACTCTTAGGCCTTGGTGCTTTGTTCCTGGGCCCCATCAGTCAGCTCTTCATCCGTTCCACCAGCTCCTCCTGCCACGTGGCTGAGGCCAAGTAAATGTGAGGCCAGGGCAGCCAGGCGAGGCTCCTTACTTAAACGCCTCTCCAGGGGGCAGGTGCCTGGCCTGTCTCCTCTAGGCTCAGCTGAGGGGAGGTGGGGGAGGCTGAGCTCACCCCCCAGGAAACTGAGCCAGGACATGTCACACAGCAGGGAGGGTGGGATCAGTTGAGTAAGGTCACATCACGTGGTGGCCAAGAGGAAGACAGCAACGCCCAAGGCTTCCCCTTCTGTCCCACTCAGCGCCACATCCCCGCACTCACTTGAACTCCTTCTCCGTCTTGCCCCTCAGGTCCCGCACCAGCCACTGCGTGGTGAAGGCATCCTGCGGCGGCATCCCCCAGCGCATCACAGCATTGAGGAAGGCCTTCCGCTGGCGCGTGTTGAACCCCAACACCTGAGGGCGAGGGCAAGGAGGCAGGTCTTGACTTGGGCCCCAGCCTTCAGTGCCCACAGCCCCTGACGGGCCTGGGCCCAGCTCTCACCTCAATGTTGCCCCCAACTCGAGCCAGCAGTGGAGGCAGTGGCTTGTCCTTTTCATTCCGGAGCTGCCTCTTTGACTGGCGGCGCCCTGAGGGCCGAGGTGACACGGGTTATTGAGCGCATCCACCAGCGTCAGCACCCACTCCCGCAACACACGGAACTCAGGGGCGCCCTGGGTTATGTCTGAGGTACTCCTGATTTTCCTCCGAGCCTTTTCAGAACTACTCACCCAGAGAGTCTAAAAGAATCAAGTCTTACTAAAACATTAACAACAACTATTGGACACGGCAGGGAAGTAAAATGATGGAACCTTCCTAAGCCCGCAGACCATCACAATGGCGAGGTTACAGACACTTCTCTCTTCCTGCCCATCTGCAATCTTTAGTTTTTCTACCAAAAAACCATGAGGGAAGAGCACAGGGAGAAAGTCAGGAAAACAGCCACCTTCAGGACGCTCGTCAAAGTCTTCGTCCTCCTCCTCTGATCCCACCGAGTACTCCGACTGGTTATCTGTGAGGGAAACAAGGGCTCCGCGGTCAGTGACGGCTTCCTGGGTAGGCCACGCTGGGGTCCCCTCCTCTCTGGCCTCGGCCCCCTTGGGGGTGCTAGGTCACTGCCTGCAGCCTGACCTCACGGCCACATATCCTCGGCCTTGTCCACTCACTGGGCATCTCTTGTACTGCCCCGAGTCCTGCTGAACCTACTCGAAGCAATGACCCGTGGGCGTCCACAGGATTCCTCTGCAGCCCCCAGACCGTCTAAGTTGCCTGCAAGCCCACCTGGCCTCTGATGGTTCCTACCGACCCCTCCTGACTGCGTTCTCCCGAGCAGGGGAAGGCCCCGCCTCCACGCCGCTCTCTCTCTAGGCAGCCCCAGCCTCCAGGCCCCTACCCATCATGATCACGTCCTCCCTCCCCGCTTCCTGCATCCGGGGTCCTCACCCTGGTCCTCCTGAGCAGCATCGTTGTAGTTGACCTGCTTGCGGACCCGCTTGCCCTTGCCGAGGTTGCGGGCCAGGTCCTCCTGCTGCTGCTCGTAGTGGTGCCTCAGCAGCTTCTCCCAGTAGTCGGGGTCCACGTTCTCCTCCTGCTTGATGATCTCTCGCTCGATCTCCTCGATCTGAAGGGCAGCACAGCGACTGCTGGGGCCTCCTTCTCCGGTCCTTGCACCACTGCCTCTGGCAGCACCCCACCCCCGGGCTCCCCCTCAGCTCTGCCGACCTTTGTTGGACACTGGACATCTCCTGCGCCAGCCCTTGCTGCACTGCACCCTGTGCCTCTGTCACTGCTAAGCCCCTTCCCTAACCCTCTGCGTGCCCTGCACTGAGTCGCAAGTGCCCTTTTGTGCTCACCGGGACTTTGTGCCGAAGTCACTCTCTAAAGCCTAGTCTCATGTGTGAGACTACAGGTTGTTTCAGGGGCAAGCCTTTGCCATAGTGATACAGATGCCACTGGAGGTGGGCAGCACCGTGGCATGGTGGGTAAAGCCACCTCCTGCAGTTCTGGCATCACATATGGGCACCGGTGCGAGTCCTGGCTGCTCCACTTCCTATCCAGCTCTCTGCTATGGCCTGGGTATGCTGCACCCATGTGGGAGACCTGTATGAAGCTCCTGGCTCCTGGCTCAGGATTGGCTCAGTTCTGGCCGTTGCTTGCTCTTTCCCTTTCTGTAGCTCTGCCTTTCAAACAAATAAATCTTAAAAAAAAGATGCCACTTGGGGACGCCCACATCACACATCAGAGTGCCTGGGGCTGAGACCTGGCTCCTGCTAAGGTGCACCCCGGGAGCAGCAAACAAAGGCTCAATTGCTTAGGTCCCTGCCACCCACATGGGAGCCCCAGACTGAGTTCCAGGCTCCTGGCTTTGTAAAGCTCAGCCCAGCCCCAACTGTCGTGGCCACTTAGGAAGTAAACCAGCAGACTGCCTTTCAGAAAACTTTTTTTAAGTTGTTTAAGATCCACTCTGCTTTGCTGGGTGCTAGGTCAAGAGAGCAATAAAAAAACAAGAGCAATGGGTCCTGCTTGAAGGCTCCCGCTTGGAGCTCCAGAGACACGGCATCAGAGACAGCTTGGGACAGACAGCGTCCGGCCCCCACGCCCCTCACCTTGTCCTCTTCCCGCACGACGTACTGGGCCACCTTGAAGGAGCTGAGGTACTCGTTCATGTTCTGCACGTCCGTGTCCTCCGTGGCATCCTGGTTCCGGTCCAGCAGCCTGGCTATGGCCTCATTGTCATAGTGGATCACGCTGCTGTCCTCCTCCTTGTTCTCCCCTGGGGTCGGGAAACAGGACAGGGTTGCGGTTTCCCGCCAGGACCCCAGGCACAGCTCCAGGAAGGTCTGAGGAGAGCCCTCATTTCTGCCTCTTTCTGGGGAAGCCTGGAGGAGGTTCTCTCCCTGGGAGCCGATTCCAGGTTTGGTTTGGTTTGGTTTGGTTTTTTAACCCTACAGGCAGGAGAAAGGCCAGCTCTCCTCCCAGGACCACCGGAAGCAGGCTTTTCTCCCTGCAATGGCGGCAGAGCCGTTTTCCCGCCAGGGGGCCGCAGGAGCCAGGGACTCACGGGAGGGCAGGGGTCTGCTCTCAGGGAGCTGCGGGAGAGGGTCTCACCCTCATTTTCGTCCTTGAACAGTTCCTCGGTGCCAAATTTGAGGATGTCGTCAAGCTCCTGCTTGGACATGGAGCCCGCCTTGGAGCCCAGCCCCGGCCGCACCACCAGGTGTGTCAGCATCATCTTCCTCTTGGCCACCTGCGTGATTCGCTCTTCCACCGACGCCCGAGTCACAAAGCGGTAAATCATCACTTTGTTGGCCTGGCCGATGCGATGAGCCCGGCTGAAGGCCTGCAGTGGGAGAAGGCAGGGGCGGGCAGGGGGAGCAGAAGAGAGGCTGCTCACACGCTCAGGAAAGGAGGCTGGCCAGGAGGGTCTTCTCCCTCCCAGGAGAGGTCTGTGTCTGACCCCAGAGCACGGCAACCCCCCCTGTGAACCCACGGCTCCTTGCTAAACGGGGCACCACGACGTGGGTTCCCACCTGGATGTCATTATGGGGGTTCCAGTCAGAATCAAAGATGATGACAGTGTCAGCAGTGGCCAGGTTGATGCCCAGGCCCCCGGCTCGAGTGGACAGCAGGAAGCAGAACTGCTGGGCCCCAGGAGCTGGAGGTGAGAATTAGAGGACCGAGTTTTTCTTGTACCCAGCGGTTCTGTCCACGTGCCACAAGATGTTCCCTGACCACAGGCAACCATGGTCCCAGCTGAGAATCCACATGCCCCATGTGCCCCACACCAGCCCCCTCCCATCCCAGGGACTTGGCACAGTTTCTGGGGTCTCCCATGCCCACCAGAGACCAAGGCATTTCCCTCTCACCATTGAACCGATCGATGGCCTCCTGCCTCAGGGCGCCGGTGATGCCACCGTCGATGCGCTCATATTTGTAGCCTTCATAGTCCAGGAAGTCCTCCAGCAAGTCCAACATTTTGGTCATCTGGAGCAAGAGCAAAGGCGGGAGTGCAGAACACCGAGGCAGAGGGACAGGCCTGTCCTGAAGGGTCCCTTCACTCCGACCCCAGCCCTGTCAGCTCCCGCGGTGCGCCTCCCGCTACCCGCCCATCATCCCAATTTCTGCCACACTCTCCCTTTCAGACACAGGTTCTTCTCTGAGACCCGTGAAGACACCCCAGGGAAATCTATGGGCCTTCTGAAGACTGCATAAAACTAATTTTGTGTGTGGTTTTCCGGAGAGGGGACCCATGACTTTTTTTTTTTTTTTTTTTTTGACAGGCAGAGTGGACAGTGAGAGAGAGACAGAGAGAAAGGTCTTCCCTTGCCGTTGGTTCACCCTCCAATGGCCGCCGCGGCCAGCGCGCTGCGGCCGGCACACCGCGCTGATCCGATGGCAGGAGCCAGGAGCCAGGTGCTTTTCCTGGTCTCCCATGGGGTGCAGGGCCCAAGCACCTGGGCCATCCTCCACTGCACTCCCTGGCCACAGCAGAGAGCTGGCCTGGAAGAGGGGCAACCGGGACAGAATCCGGCGCCCCGACCGGGACTAGAACCCGGTGTGCCGGCGCCGCAAGGCGGAGAATTAGCCTAGTGAGCTGCGGCACCGGCCCCCATAACTTTCATTAGAGCTCCAAAGGCTCTATGCCCCCCCTCAATCTGCCATTAAGAAACAGGGCCGTGGAGCTGGCACTGTGGCATAGCAGGTAAAGCTGCCGCCTGCAGTGCCAGCATCCCATGGGTGCCAGCTTGTGTCCGGGCTGCTCCACTGCTGATTCCACTCCCTGCTAATGGCTTGGGAAAAGCAGCAGAAGATGGCCCAAGTGTTTGGGCCCCTGCATGCACATGGGAGACCCAGATGAAGTTCTTGGCTCTTTGCTTTGGCTTGGCCCAGTCCTGACTGTTGCAGCCATCTGGGGAGTGAAGCAGCAGGTGGAGGAGCTCCCTCTCTCTGTCTCTCCCTCTCTCCCTCTAACTCTCTCAAATAAATAAATTAATTAAAAAAAAAAAAAAGCAGGGCCAGTCCCAGAGTGCTCCCCGGGGGCGCATGGCTCCTCCAGTCCGTGTAGGAGCTGGACTACACCTTCCCAAGGGGAACAGAGGCCAGGAGTGAACTAGCTGCGCCATAAACCCCTTGGGGCTTCCTTCGCATCCGTCC